GGCTATTGAGAATTAGGATATTCTCTGTATATTCATTCCTGTCTTTTTTGATACTCATCACCAGAGTAGCTACCATTTCTTGAGTACCTATAATCATTACATACATTATCCCGTTAGACTTGCCCTGCAATCCCATGAAATAGATATTTTCATACTCATTTTGTAAATGAGAGAGTTGAGGTTGGAGTAAGCACATTATCCAAAGTCAATAGAAAAGCCCCAAATTCAGATACCATATATGATTTATTAGTAGTTCCCTGAATACTGTCCTATTTGTCAAGTACTTACAAACAGTGGCCCATGTAACAACTCTATGAGGTAGATAATATTAACACTCTCATCTCATAGCCAGGGAAACAGGGGCAGAGAATAATTAAGAAACTTGCTCCAGGCCTCACAAGTAGAGTGACAGAGCTAGGTTATAACTCCAGGCAGTCTGGCTCAAGAGGCTGGGCATTCAGCCTCTAGCGCTGTGTTGCCTTAAGATGAGAAGGATGCCAAGCTGAGGTGAGGAGAAGAGGGGATGATCTCAAAGGCATGGGGAATTTACTCCTGTATAGGCAGGAGGCTCAGTGAGTTTATGAACTACCAATGCTCTGAAGAAAGAACTCTCCACCCATGTAGACAGGAGCCATCCCCCAGAGCCCTGGCCTCCCTCCTCCGAAAGGGGTTGGCCACCGTGGAGAATTTTCCAGAATTGAGCAATGGTGTAGGTGTTTCGTTTCCTTTAGGTCCACTGAGATGTATCATCAGGAAATTGCCTCAGACTCTCAAGCTAGATGTGCCTTCACCATTTGGCTACAAAAATCCTCAGAAGAGATGGAAGTCAACAGTTTTAGATGACTAGTTGCATTCAAAGGTCCAGGGGAAAAAAAGATCTTTAACCAGAAAAAGCAAAACAAACATGTACTAAGCAGATACCAAGTGCTGAAACATGGGAAATGTGAAACCTCACAATATCCCTTTGAAGTTGTGATTAGCTCCATTCTACAGAGAAATAAACTAAGGCTCAGAGCAGCAAAGTTAAACCTCAAAGTCAAGTGGTAAGTAGAGGAAGCTGGGTATGATCCAATGCTCAGATGACTTCAGGTTACATGCTTAGTATCTAGCTCCTTGCTTGCCTGTGGCTGATCCTGAGGGAGTTTTAGAATTTCCCCATAATTAATGATGAAATTACTAAGAATGTCTTCAATAAACACAGAGACCTGCCAGCCTGGTGTATTCTGATCAAAGCTTTGCCTTGGGTAAAACACTTACCTCCTCAGTCCTTAGTTTACTCCTGGGCACATAAAAGTCTAAAATATTTTCATTCCGAAAAACACAGCTTCAAGAAAAGAAATAGTTTCAAGGGAACATTTACAAGAAATCCTGATGTCATAAAGGAAGAAATTCACAGATGAAAGTTTATGAAGATTTAAAACTTCTGTATATCGTAAGCAAAGGTAGATGAGAAGGGACATACTATAAGAATGTCTTCAATATGTAATGACAGAAAAAGAATTGGTATGTAGAGTAGATAAAGAAGTCCTCTAAATCAATGAGGAAAAGACAAACGATCCTATAGGAAAATGAAGAAAAGATATTAATAGGCCATTAACAGAAAAGTGTTTGATGCGTATAAAGAGAATGTTCATTCTTACTAGTAATGGGGAAAGGCAAAGAACAATGAGCAGTCATTTTCTGCCCCAAAATTGGCAAAAGTATTAAACAACTGACAATATCCAGCACTGGCAAAGGCACAGGGACATCATTGGCAGGAATACAAATTGGGACAGCTTTTTTGGAGGACATTTTGGCCACAGTTAACAAAATCTTAAATGCACAAATCCTTCCACTAGACATTCCACTTTTTTTTTTGTATTTTTCCAAAAGAAATTCTCATATTTGTATATAAAGAACCACATCAACAATGATTTTTGTGTCTCTGTAATAGCTAAACACTAGAAACTACCTAAAGGTCTATCAACAAGACATTGGTTAAACAGTTTTCTACATATGCAGATTCTGGAATTATTGTCAGTATGTAATAGACATGGGGCAGCTTTATATGTATTAATATACTCCAAAGTATCTTGTAGATTAAAAAAAAGCTCCTCTCTTTTTCATCCTCTACTATTTGAATAGTACAGTATTCTATTATACAATCTCTGCTATATGATCTATATATATGTATATATATATGTGTCTGTGAATACACCAAAAAGATAAGACAGACATATAAAATGCAAAATAGTGATTACTTTTGGGATCAAGAGAGGTTTGTGCCTTTCACTTTTACTCTATATTCCTACATTGTTCATGTTTTTACAAAGTGAGTATATTCCTGTCATTTTTCAATTATCTAAAGAAAAGCAAGCTTGCAACAGAGACAGAAACACTTGCTTTGCGCTTGGGGTTATCTGCTGTTCACCCAGGATTGAGAAATCCTCTGACCCAGTCCCAGGACTGGGCTCGCTCTTCTGCTGATAGGAATAGTAAAGATGCTCAGCTGGAATTCATCTTACCCTCATTTTCTCCAGTTTCTGTAAGTGCTCGCACATCTGAACATGTGCGCACATAAACACATTCCTATCTAGCGCACATACTCAGAGAAACTACCGCGTAGGCTAGTTCAACAGCCTGAGAGCTTTTGAATCATGAACCAGAGCAATTCTTGTCATCTTGATAAAACACGTACACAATCACACTCCAATACAACTACAACAAAAATAACAAATTGTCAGGCTCCATAAGCAGAAGCCTTGATTTAAACCATAGAGTCCAATGGGCACACATTGGACGTGAAGCTCCTTAAATAATGGCTCTGCTAGCCTAAAACATATCAGATGTTCCTTTAGCCTTAGCTCACCCAAGACATAAACTATGTGTTCAGGGGAAAGCAAAGTCAAATGACTCATGACAGAGTTTGTTTTTAGTATGAATTATTTTTTCTGGCTCCTTGCTTTTAAAGACAGATCCTTTTCAGATGGGCTGAAGCAAGGACTGCTGGGAGCTAGGCTCATGAGACTAGCCTTCCTATTCTTCTGCAAGTTGGAAGGAGATGCCCAGGGAAGGAGGGTTTATTTCCCATTATCTGACTCCCATGATGCACTGCTGCTTCTTTTTTCTTTCAAAACCGTGCAATGGCAGCTAGCTGGGTGAAATGGTGGAAAGAACCCTGGATTTGGAGTCTGAGACTGGAGCTCCAATTGCCACTTTGCCATTTACTAATTGTTTGATGCTGGGAATGTCACATCACTTTTCTGTTCTGGGTTACCCTTTCCTTAAAGAGGAAATGGGAATAGTAAGTATTGCAAGGGATTGTGGTGGGGGCTCAATGATTTAGTCTAAGCAAAGTGCCAGGCACATGGAAGGCACTTAGTAAGTAGTACTGGACAGAACCCCTCAGGACAGAGATGGTATCCTATTTACCTTGGTATCCCTTGGACTTGTTGGAGAACCAGACAGAAAATATCTGAGGAAGAAAGGCAGCAATGAAGGGCTGCAGGAAAAATCATGACAAACAGTAACATTCTTTGTATTTATCATGTGTCAGGTACTGTTCTAGCTGCTTTACATGAATCTCATTAATTATTACAAACAGCCCTCTGAGCAGAGGCTCCCTATGTGGAATATAAGGAAAGGCAACATCTGGAATAGCCAACTTCTCAGATCACTTTAAAATAACAGACGTAAGTGGGGAAGAATATGCAGTGTGTTCAACATAGGTGGTGAAGAGCCAGAACCCTCCTAGGCATGTGGTAGATTAGGGCAGCTTCTTAAGGTACTCTGGAGGAGTGAGTGCCCCAAGGACAGAGAGCTGCCCAGCCGATGCCCATATACATTCAATACCTCTCCCTCGTCAGCAGTCATAACTAAGAGAACACAAAATTCTAGAGTTGGTAGAGACTAAATTTAGACACTGCCTGGCATAGTTCCACTTTACAGGTTTGAGGATGGCTAGTTGTTCAAGGTCACACCACAGGTAAGTGGTACAGTGGAAACTATAATCTGGTCCCTACTTTCCAAGCCAGCTCTCCACCTCTGGCATCTAGACCACACTAACAGCCTCTCTCTCATCTATGTATATCCTTGACATTTTGACTTATTTTTTCATTCGTTTATCCCGTAGCTCTCACCTAAGCAACGTTCAGGATAAAAAGAAATATTTGTCATCAGCTACGTGCAGTTCCATTGAAAAAACCATCCCTAGAATAAGATGAATGCCTAGCCTTTTCTCCTAATAAATCACTGACTAATCTACTTGGCAAGCAAATTTGTGATAAAGATATAGGTCTCCATATGAGTCTGCCTAGATGGAAATAATGGGCAGAATTTGGAATAGTGATTTCCTAGGGTTAGTTAATAAAAATGTCTTTTGGCTTTTTACCTCGGATATAGTTTGGCTCTGTCTCTCCACCCAAACCTCATTTTGAAATGTGATCCTCGTGTGTTGAGGAAGGAACCTGGTGAGGGGTGATTGGCTCATGGGGGCTGTTTCCACTATTCTGTTGTCATGATGGTGAGGGAGTTCTCACGAGAGCTGATGGTTTTAAAGTGGCAGTTCCCCCCTTCTCTCTCTCTCCTGCTGCCTTGTGAAAAAGGGGCCTGCTTCCCCTTCACCCTCCACCATAACTATAAGTTTCCTGAGGCCTCATCAGCCATGTAGAACAGTGATTCAGTTAAACCTCTTTTGTTTCTAAACGACTCAGTCTCAGGTAGTATCTTTATAGCAATGTGAAAACAGACTAATACAACCTCCATTTCATGAGTTGCTTCTGTAACATATGTGGGAAAAAATCACTCACTAATTCATTCATTTATACATTCATGTACTCATTCACATTGTCATCCAGTACACAGTTGAGTTCACCTCTGAGTTCATGAATCCTTTGTCCCCAGGTTTAAAATTCTACACACACTCTTTCCCATCTCAGCCCCTCCACACATACACACAACACATGCACACACAACGCACATACACAGACACACACAGACACACACACACACACACACACACACACACAGATTCGCCTTTATTTACACCTCCAAGTCCTGACTGGACTCAACTGTCACTTCCTTTGGAACATTTTCCCTGCATCCCCAGAGCTGAAGCATCACACACTGTACTATACTATACTATTTTATGGTATTACTCTTCTGCAATACTGTTGGAAACTTGAGAGCAGGGGCTGTGTCTTTCTTGCTCAGAATCATATCTGTGAATAGAGAGATGGGTCTAGTACGAGTGGTTGGCACATAGATGGCACTCAAGAAGTATCTATTGATAAAATGAATGGAAGAAAGAAAAATAACTGAAGAATGATTATGATCTAAGGTCTGTCCTCAGTCAATTTCCAGTGTAGTGGAGAGGCAGACATTAAAAAAAGAGTCACCATACTTGTGTGAAGCATGATATCTGAGGTCTGTTCTGTGCTGTGGAGCACTGAGGAGGAACTGTGCTGGGATTCCACTTCTGTCTTATGTTCGTCTTATCTGCCTTTGCAAGAAAAAAACGTATGGGGCTATGGGTATATATGGAAGATACTCAGGGTATAACCTTTCTTAGGCTAATTATCTTGCTGTGTCCCCCTATACCCAACACTCCCGGTGGATGACATCTCAGGACTTTGCCATTCCAAATCATTTCTTTGAATTCAGAGCCTAAGACGGAAAATACAAGAGTGTTGGGGAGCAGAGGAAGAAAAAGACAGAAGCCCCACAGTATCCTCCTTACTCAAAACATTCTAGCCTCCCTGCTCTTTTTGCTCTTCTTCACACATGTTCAATTCATTCCTGCCCCAGGGCCTTTACACTTGCTGTCCTCTCTGTCATTCAGGGCTCATCACAAACATCCCTTCCTCAGGAGAGCCTCTCTTCCACTCACACAGCCAGCCCTTCATACCCAGTCTGCCATTCGATTTTGCTCTCTGGTATCACTTTTCTTTCTTTTATAACATTTCTTGCAACTTGAAATCAATATTACTTGTTGTTCTGCTGTTTCTTAGGATCTTCCCAACTAGAACGTGAGTTCTATGAGGGCAGGTATTGCTGGACAAAACTGGACACACTCAGTGAAGAAAGGAGACAGGTGTCAGACAGAAAAGGAGAGGTGCACACTCCAAAGGGAGAGAAAGCTAATGAGGCTAAGAAAAGTGACTTTGACTCCCATGCAGTTTAAGGAAGAATTAATAATAGAAACTTATTGCACACTATCTATGATAAGCTCATGTCCTACTTTGTTGAAGTTTCCTTTTTGGAACACATAAGTGTTCTGTGAATGTGTGTGAAATTGGGATAATAACAGCTCCTGTCCTATGGTGACTGAGTTAATTCATGCAAGTGGTTAGAACAGTGCTTCACATATAAAAACATCATAAATGTTGCCTGCTATCATTGTCATCATCATCATCTATACAGAGATAGGACAGATAGGTAAAACAGGTCTATAAGAATTATGTGCATTGCAAATAATTATGTGCAAGAAAATACACTGTATTTGCTTATTCTTTTCGAAATGATGCTTAGAATTTCTACAGTGTACAAAGTTAAACATGTGCCATCTATTTTGAACTTAATGTAGTACAAAAGCAGTTTTATAAGAATTGTTTATCAGTGTTTATGTAATCAAAGAATTTTAATGTGTTTGTAATAGACACATTTACGATTGTTTTGATTAAGAATTTAAAAGTTTCAAGACATATAAACATGGAGAAGCACGTAAGGACTCTGAGAAGCTATAAGAAATAATGGTATCAGTGGAGAGAACAAATAGGCTAAAAGTCTGAATGACAACTTCATAAGGGTGAATATGGATATAGATATTGAACAAGGAAAACAGAAGAAATGGAGATGTGAGAAGCAAGACATTAGCACAAGTACAACAAGTCTAAGCTCTGCCTGTAGTCATCACTTCTCTGCAATCACTGCGGGAAATGCCTGTTACAAAGGCAGGAACAGCAGGCAAACTGCTGCAAATAAGAACCATAATTAAACATAAGAGTAAATATGTTGTTTTATTAATAACTTTAAAAATCTGCTAGAATTCTGTATGTTACTCCAAGTTTGGCTAGTTCTTAATTTTTTTAAAAACCCTCTTTTTATTTACCTCCTTTTTAATGTTTGCAGATCAGAAGCCTGGTAAATAAAACTGGAAACGTGCCTCGCCCAAGGTACCATTTGCCTTCTTTCTCCATTAGCCCCAATGACCCACAAATACTTTGTCTATCCATGTCAAAGAGCAGAGGGATTGTTTTTGAAAGATATTTAGCAGCCCATGTAATGTTCCCTGAAGCCCCTAGGTGTCACTATTGCAAAACTAACAGAAGCCTGAACCGTCAAAAAGAAAAAGTACCTTTAATATAAAACACTTTCAATAGCTATACATAAGGCAGACATCATTTAACACAGAAGCTACAAACAATTTAGTATCTCTAAGAGAATTTTTAATTTCCTTTTAAACTCAAAGGCTCACCCCAAGAAGAAGAAAAATATCATTTTTTTTTTTTTTTGTCAGAAAAAAATCTCTGCACTGTTCTTTCTCCTAACATTTACACTGAGGGTCTCAGCTGAAACTCACGATACTGAGAGTTTGTGGCATAACTTGTTTTATACTCAAGATTAGCTTGATAGCACAAAAGAACTAGCTTTCAGAGTAAAAATATAAGAGAGTGAATGGGGGCTAGCTGGAAGGAAAAATGCAGCTATGTTAGTTTGATATTCAACCAAAAGCTTTAATCTTATTAAACATATTTAAAGATGGTTTTTATTTAGATCTGGCAGCTTGATTAATGGGGATGTATTAAATAATACCTGGCTGCTAAGAGTATATTTAGGAATCAGTGCCACATAAAACATACAACATGTACAATTCGGTTTCATTATTATTTAAGGTTCTCTGTTCTCTTGGCTGTGGGCACACACATTAAAAATTAAGTACACATACTCAGTGTATGCTCAGTGCTTTTAAAAGGCTTTCTCTTTAGACAGAAACATGAAATGGAAAATGAACTCAACTCTGGTGAAAGGTAATGGATTCATACCTTTGGGGACAGCTGTCCTGTTTATCAAAAGAAAGGAGAGAGGTGGGTCAGAAGTGGAAAAAAAAAATTCCCAAGTGGTCAGCAAAGACAGATGCCCAACTTCAGAGAGGAGCTGAAATCAGTTTCTATATCCAGGCTTACTTCTTTGTCACAGTTGAGAGGTCGAATGAATGGTATGTTTAACCATGAGGCCATGGCGGAATTGAGATGCTGACTAATTCCCAGTGCATTATAGAAACACTTTGGTAATGAGGAGTTGAGGATGGGTGGGAGAGGTTGGGGGCAGGGGTGGGAAAAAGCATCTATAGTTTTTCTGGGCATAATGCTAGGTACTGATCAAGGGGTGAGAACTGAGGGGAGGGCATGGTTCTGACTAGCTGGGAAGATAGAAAATTACGAGGTAAAGAACCAAGTACCATAATAGAGTTCTACCCAGTGTTTTTGATGAAAAAAAAAATGATACATATGACATGCAGAATCTTATCAATAAACTACCTTTCTCTCCTTTCAAAGGACATGAGGTTCCCTAATAATCTTTGCGCCAGACATCTTAGAGTGGCCAAAATATCATATATCACATTACATTTGTAAACAACCCAATGGGACAGGTAATAGTGTTAACATTTTAACTTTGGAAACTATGCTGAAATCCAGAAAAATACAGAAAGCATCTCAGCACTCAGAAGAAAAAAAAAGCACACTTTTTTGATAAAAGCATTATTGTCTGTATGTACAGATTACAGAACTGAGGCTCAGAGAGTTTAATCACGTTACCCAAGATTACATAGTAAGTTTCAGAGGTAGGACTGGAACCCAAGGCTATCTTATTTGAAAACCCACTTTTAAAATCTTCGACTCTCATTGCTTCTCTGTGATTGACTGAAGACTTGGGCAGAAGAAACAAAGAAAATTGGGGGTGATGTGGAGGGGCACAGCAGTTCTATTTATCTCCCGTGTCACCCATTTGTAAAAGACTGGAAGACAAGGGTCTGATTTCTTCTCAAACACTGTTTCCCATTGCTGCTACCATCCACAACTGAGCTATCTATTTCCACCACTGAAAAGAAGTCACAAAAATGTGAAGCACACCAAAGACTTCCCAGTGATGATGGTTATAATCAGCAGACCACAGAGAATAAGCTATGTTGCATTAAGAATACAACCAAGAAGGAAGGAAATTCTGACACATGCTACAGCATGGATAAACCTCGAGAACATTATGCTAAATGCAATCAGCCAGTCAACAAAAGGCAAATGTTGTATGATTCCACTTATATGAGGTATTTAGAGAGTAGTTAAATTCAGAGACAGAAAGTAGAATGGTGGTTGCCAGGGGCTGTGGGAGGGGCAATACAGAGTTATTGTTTAATGGGTACAGTTTCAGTTCTGCAAGATGAAACGAGTTCTGGAGATGATGGTAGTGATGGTTGCACAATAATGTGAATGAACATAACACCACCAAACTGTACACTTAAAAATGGTTAAGAGGATAAATTTTATGTTATGTATATTTAAAATAAACAAACGAATACAACCAGGACTACCTTCTCCAAGGGTCATTTACAATTATTTACAATGTTCTCTTGCCTGGCACAATATGAAGCATGACTTTTAACATTTTCAAATTTTTGGAAGTAAAGGTATTTTTGTGGTACTTTCTTGCCACTTTTCTGGAAAGCAGGCTATCTGGAGGTAAAGGTTGTTTTTTTCTTTATGTAATTTTATATTTGCATGTTTCATATGGATGCTTGTCCTGGTTTGATCAGCAATGAACTGTCTGGCCATGCACAAAGCACTTCCCCTCTCCAGGTCTCAATTTCCTCATCTGCAAAACGAGGGTTTGTGTAGGATGATCTCTAAGGGCCCTTCCCATTTTCAGTTCAGATTCCTATTTTTCCAAATGCTAATAGTGTCTACACTCTTAGGTATACATTGCTTATTATTTACACTTATCAGATCCTTTTGGTGAGCCACTCATTTCAGAAATACCTCCACTTGCTGCACTTTTCCTGGGGGCTGGACAGAGACAGGAAGGACACAGTGTGAGGTAGGCAGAGAGAAAGCAGACAAGTGAAGGGTGTCTTGGAAGGAGCACTGGACTAGGAGTCTGATGCTATAAGGTTTGGTCCTGGGCCCTTGCCACTTGCTCACCACGTGAATCAGGAAGAAAGAAAGCATTTACTGGGGTCTTTTATGCATGAGGCACTTTTGTATATACTATCGTACTATTTCACACATTTTAGTGACTCTGGTCCTATCTTCCCAATTATTTTCTTTTCCCAAGTACTACCTGTAGTATTTATTAGTCATAAAATATTTTTCTGAATTCTGGAAAGAAAAAAAAAACCTTTTCTTTCTTTTTAAAAGTGTCTCAATCTAGGTAAAAATGTTTATAAAACCCAGGTTTAATGTTAGTTACATTTTCTCTAATATCTATTAAAATGAATATTTAACCATTAGAAAAAGTGTGTCTACAGACTGGGTGCCAGGACTAATGCCTGTTAATCCCAGAACTTTAGGAGGCTGAGACGGGTGGATTACAAGGTCAGGAGTTCGAGACCAGTCTGGCCAACATAGTGAAACCCCATCTCTACTAAAAATACAAAAAAATTAGCTGGGTGTGGTGGTGTGTGCCTGCAATCCCAGCTACTTGGGAGGCTGAGGCAGGAGAATTGTGTGAACCTGGGAGGCAGAGGTTGCAGTGAGCTGAGATCGCGCCATTGCACTCCAGCCTGGGCGACAGTGCAAGACTCTGTCTCAAAAAAAAAGAAAGAAAAGGAATGTTACAAACTAGTATGTAGAATGCCTGAATGTCACTGGTGGTATGTGTGTGCATTTTGGAAGATGCCACTGCATCTTAACTTTGTCTCCATTTTTGGCTGCTAGTGCCCATGGAATTTACCAATTCACCCAATTCTGAACCAGCAGAACTCACAGCAATCTGCTGGTTCTTATATCTCTCATCTTTAGAATGAATATGTTCTAGAAAGTTACATAAACAGAACTTCCAAGATTTTTAGATTTCATACAATGGTAACACTTCCAAAATGACTTTGGAGACTAACTTTACAGTGTTAGAAAGTTTAATTTTGCCAAAAAAAAGCTTGAAGTTTTCTCTGACAAGATATATACATATGTGTGTGTGTGTGTGTGTGTGTGTGTGTGTATACACATACATATATAATGTATATGTGTGTATGTGTATATATATATAACCCACAGGACTTCCTACATCAAACAGTTGGGAGGGGGACGTCTCAGGATAATATAAGTCATTTAAGAAGAAAAAAATTAGCTTAAGGAAGAGCTCAACATTCTGCTTACTCCTCTGCATTTCTGACTAGTAAAAACTTTGTCATGGACCAGCCACTGTCCGGGCCCAGCACTGGCTGACCACAGTTTAATGGGCTTTGGAGTCAGGCAGATCTGAAAGTCCTGGTTTTGTACTAACTACATGTACAGCATTGGAAATCCACTTAACTCCTGTGAGCCTCAACTTCTCATTTGTAAACTGAGGATATTACTTATTGCCGTCAAGATTAAATACATTTGTAAGATGCCTAGCACAGTGCCTGACTCATTGTGTAGGAACTCATTAGGTGGTAATGACCACCTAATAACTTTTACCGATCTCATTGCATCTAGCAAGAAAGGCTGCTATGAGGATACAGGTATTGATCAACTTACGACCTATGCAACTTACGACCATTCGACTTTACGACCACAATCGCTAGCCAAGACTGCTCTGCGTCTGGCAGCGCAAACGTTGCCCAGCTGGGCGTATAACAGTGCGGACCAGCTTCCGGCAGCACTACCATCTCCATGTGCACCATTTCAACTGTTATCCCAGACTCCGTACAGCAATTTGTGTTTTGTGTCTTGGATATTTTTCATCAAACCCCTCCCAATAAACTTCTTATACATTTCGATGCAATGGACCCAAACATCGAACGATTTGCAAGGATTGAACGGACGGCGCACGATGTGTTTCGTCCGTATCGTGAAATTTATGAAGAAAAAAAGAAACATACAATTCAGACAAAGCTCACCATGTCTATGAAAAAAACAACTCCAGTAACCCCAACTGCTGCCTCAGATGACGACATCAACGATCCGCAGCCAAGCACCAGCGGCCAATAAAATGTTTCATACATGTTTATATATTTTGATATGTTTTGCAATTGGGAAAATGTTTCCTATGGTATTTTTTACACCTGTATTTTGTATTTTTGTATGCACCTGTATTTTGTAATTTTGTAAGTTTTGCAAATATTAAACCAGTTGCAATGGTAATGCAGTGTTTTACTTAAACCTGACGAATGTAAAAATAAGAAACAAAATAGTGTAGAGATGATACAAATGGCATAAAATGAACAAAGAAAATTATGATATATAACAATAATGAAAGAAAATTATGATAAAATATGACAAAGATTTTTATAACATCATTTCACAGTACTGTACATATAGCCTACTCAACTTATGACCAAATCGTGTTACAACTGGTCTGTCAGAACCAATTGTGGTCGTTAAGTCGAGCACTAGCTGTACAACATGGAATGCATGGGCGAGTGTGCCACAAACTCCTATGTGTCGTACAGCTATAACTCCTCCTTTGGGTCTCTGCTTAGAAGCTACTTTCCCAGGGAAACTTTCCTTGACCCACCAGGTTGGGTAAGAAGCCTCTGTCCCTGGTATCACGGCACCTGTCCTCTCCATCTTTTCCTTTGTCACTGCAATAGAACTGCTGGCCAACTTTTTCCTCTCCCCAGTAGCCCCATCAGAACTCCGAGAGGGCAGGGAATATACCAATCTTGCTTGTCACTGTTTCTCCACTACCTAGCACATAGTCACTGCCACATACAGAACTCTTTTAATTTGTTAAATAGATATATGAATTGATGAAAGGATTAGCAGGAGTTTTCAAACCTGTTTTGAGGTACTGCGCTTAATGCTTGATTATCTTGGCTATGGGCTTACATCAGCATTTTTCCAATTTTGGTAGTTGAAACTTTAGCAAAGTAAGATGCTCCATGAAAAACTAATTCTTTGATCAAGTAAATTTGGGAAACACCATATTCTACATGCCTACCCAACCTAAGAGATTCAAGATGGATGTTTACATTTTAGTCTTAATAGACGTGTTGCTATAAAGACACCTAGTTGGAGCTGGGTGCTGTGAAGTGCACCTATAGTCCCAGCTATCTGGAAAATGAAGAGGGAGGATTTCTTGAGCACAGGAGTTACAGTCCAGCCTGGGAAACATAGTGAGACCTCATCTCTTTAAATAAGATATCTAGTTATCTTGAACATCTTAGCATTTTTCAAACTAATTCTTTCCAGAAATACTTTTTAATACGTCAAAGAAGACTCTGAGAAATCCTGGCCCGTAGAGACCTTGGTCTCTGATAAAATATTTCTCATGACTTCTATCAGTTATTTGTCCCGGTTCTCCCTTCCCACTGAAAACTTCATAGCCAAGGATCAAAGGTGGCATGCATACTGGGCTTGACAAAAAGGCTATGTAGACAATATAAAGTTTGAGAAAACTGATAGATATGTGAACCAGTCCAGGAACTGACCAAATGTGTTTTGACATTGACTACGGAGGTCCTCACTTATATCACATGGAGCTTCCACAGTTCTTTTTTATTTTTATTTTTTTGAGACAGGTTCTCACTCTGTTGTCCAGGCTGGATTGCAGTGGCATAATATTGACTCATTGCAACGTCTGCCTCCCGGGTTCAAGCAATCCTCCCACCTAAGCCTCCCAAGTAGCTGAGGCTACAGGCACACACCACCACATTCATCTAATTTTTGTATTTTTTGTAGAGACAGGTTTTCACTATGTTGCCCAGGCTGGTCTCAAACTCCTGGGCTCAAGCAATTCACCCACCTCAGCCTCCCAAAGTGTTGGGATTACAGGCGTGAGCCACCGAGCCCAGCCAGCTTTCACAGTTCTATGCACGTACATGATTTCAATTGCTCTTCCTCCTCTTCCTTCTGCTTTTTCTCCTTCCTCTTCTCCTTCTCCACCACCACTACCATTACCACCATTAATATGGATAACACACTGCCTATGCCAGGCACTGTTCTAAATGTTCTCTCTATATTAACTTATTTAATCCTCACAACAATCTTATGAGGGAGGTGCTGATGCCACCTCCATTTTACAGAGGGGTAACTGAAGTGTAGAGAGGTTAATTAAGCCACAAGTTTGTAAGATGAGTAGAACATTTTACCGATTTATACTAAGAAATTTTACTGACAGAAAACTGAGACTGAGCATGTAAGTGATGTGTCCAGACGAAGCAGTCTGTAAACAGTCATGTCTGTCTTATTCCAATGCAAGCTCTTTCTACCACATCAAGCTGTCTCTTGGTGTTAATAGTATATTTGTGAATTACTTTATAGTTTACTAAGCACTTCCACATCTTTTATTTCATTTAAACCTTCTGACAATGCTTACACAAATATCTATCTTTTAGATTGTGAGACTGAATCTGAGAGAGTTCCCATTACTGGTAATAATAATGATGATAAAATTAATAACTGTTTTCTACTTTTGATGAACTGACTTGCTTAGGGCAACAGAGCTCAGCACGGGCAGATATGGGGCTCAGACTCAAGTCTTCTGATGCCAAGTCCAGAGTTTGTTCCACCCTTGGAAGATGGGTCTCTCCAATATGACCATAGCACGATTAGCCTAGCTGAGGCAGAGGAGAGAGGTTTACAGCATCAGCTTGGCATTCAGTTGGTGTGGCTTTTAAAATGACTCAACATCTGCCATCAATTAGACTTCCTGTTGCCACGGTGATAGTTTATTATTGCTAGGCTGATAAGACGGCCAATGCAAGAAGACTATCTTCCTCTTTTTCCCTCCAACTCTACAGCAAAGTTTCTCCCTAATCTTTTTTTTTTTTTTTTGTCCTCTCATCTAACATAGTGGACCTTCTGCCATATGATAATGATACAGTAGTTCCCAAACTGGGAACCCTGTTGGACTCCTGACGATAATCTTTGGAGTTAATGAGAATTTTTTCCTTTTGCTTAAAACAGAGGATTTGTCAGACCAACTTTGGTTCAATTCATCTCTGACACTCATTAGCCCTCTGATCATGAACAAATTACATAATTATCTTCCCTGGACCTTATTTTTTCATTTGGAATAAGTGATAAGGAAACCTAACTGGTAGGGTAATTTTGACAATTTTCTGTAATAAATACAAAGATGTCAGCAATGTAGTGGGTAATCAAGAAATGACAGAAGTTGTGATAATTAAAATAATAGCAGTTATTATTTACAAAGAGGTGAGATGAGACAGAGATTTAGAGTTGGGAGTTGGGGTCATTTACTTCTGTTCATGTACCAATAATTCTAATTTTTCCTTCCATTGAACCTGTTCTTTTCCTTTACAGCATTTAACCCAAGATATATTTATTTGTACTCTTTTTAACTGTCTCTTCCAGTCAACTGCAGACACGTTAAGGATTAGGACCATAGTTATTTTGCTTATCATTATACCTACGGGGGTATTTGTTGAATGAACGAACACATATTTACCAAGCAGCTACTCTATGTCAGGCTCCGTGTTAGCCTTTGGAGATGCAAAAATCACTTGAGCAAGATTCTTACTCTTGAGGCATTTGCATAAGGGGTCTGTGAAAATAACAAAAATAAAGTAACTGAGGCATTCATCTTTTAATCCAAAAGGGTTTTTTTTACAAATCCAATGACATAAATGGAATTAAATCTTCAGTAATCTTCTAGCATGAAGGACTGATGTCGGGGTGGTATGGATTATCTCAAGGCTCTAAGTACCAAGAAGAATTCAAACTGGTGGTGTTAAGTCCCCAAAGTAATCAGACTTTCCCTTTGAAACATACAGTTAAAAAAAAAAAAGAACAAAAAAGAAAGGGAAGGCTTTTCTGAGGGCCAGCTCATTGACTCCTCCCAGAACAGTCTGATCCCCTCTGCTAGTGAAGCAAGAGGTCAGATCCCCAGACGGAAAATCAATCTCCAAGAGTGGCTGGATAGAATTTCTAATTCTCCAGTGCCACGACACGCAGTCTGTTTCTAGCCAAGGAGAATGGGGCCCAGAGGCGTTACCTTCCCCAACCCACTGTACATTATCAGGTTAAGCTGACACCCCTCCCTGCCTGGAGCACACAATGTCTGACAGTCACACACACAGAGGCACAGCGATCCCATGGTGAGGCCTTCCAACCTGCTTTTCTCAAGGTAGGCTAGGCTATTTTGAAGTGACTTTATTATTGAATTATTAAGTATCATTACTAAACATTTTAAACATTTTGGGTTATTTCCTTTGAAAAGATCTAGTCCAGTGCTTATGTTCAGCAGAGACCCCCCAAGGCTGCCAGGCAGTGGGGAAAGGGGGTGTGATAAATAAGCCAGAAGCAGAGTTCACCTTCTGTTTTATTTTTGAAAACCGGTGCCTGATTCTTTCAGTTTAAAGATGAGGAAACTGTGTCCCAAAGATGTAGACCTCTTGTTCCAGGTCATACACTGAGTTACTAGTAATGGAACAGACTCTAATGACTGAGGAATCAGTCTTTGAAAAATTAGGGCAAGTGAGAATCGTTAAGGAGCAGTTTAGAGTCAGAGCTAATGTGCACAAGTAAAGTTGTTTCTGGAGACACAGATCAGATTTTACCTGCTAGGAACTTTAAAACTCAGTCCATCCCCAGCAGTGCCACTGCTTTAAGTGGCTGGCTTTCTGTGTAACTAGTCATAGGTGGCTGCCTTCTTAGCCAGCTTCAGGGAGATTACAAAGTCTTTGTAAAACTTCACCTCCAGTCTGCTACAACACACACGTACCCAGCACCGACTACCTGCTAAGGATGAGTAAGACTTGGATTCTTATCTAGAAGCTCACACTTGAGTAAGGTCAGCAAACACGGCAACATCTAACGCCAGAGCGAGAGATGCACACATAGGGGTAGGGCTGTATAGAGATGGGCTTCACCAAGATGAGTTTCCCAGAGGAACTTTACAGAGAGGGGTTTCAGTATTTCACAGTGAACTGACCACAGAGTTAGAAAATTTGGGTTCGTATCTGAGCTTCACCTCTTACTAGCTATCTAACCTTGGGGAAGCACTTGCTGTCTTTGTGATTCAGGTTCCTCGTGTGCAAAGTACAACTAATATCAGAATCCTATGGGATCGTTGTGAGGACTAAGTGAGTGAATAACCAAAAAGTGCTTAAATGACAGCTGGCACATACTAAATGAATCCCCTCTCTCACTTTTAGGGGCCCCTTGAAGACAAGAGTCCCAGCGCCCCACCATACTATAATATGCTGGAACCTCACAAAGGCCTGTTGTTTCCTAGCCATTGAAACACTTGCTTCAATCTCCATTTTAGGATTTTCTATAAATTTCTCCTCCAGCCTCTGTAGTGGTTAGTCAGTTTACTGAGACGAAGACAACTGCAGTAGTCCAATTATCCAAACCAGTCTGGTTTGCCAAGATCTCTCTTCATCAGAGACGCTAACAGGTGAAAATGACAGAGCCAACTTGGTAGGAATTTCACTGCCATCAACTCCATCTAACACACAGGCTCCTCTAGGGCTAGGTGTCAGGGAGGGGTTTGGGGGAGGGAGGAGAGTATAGATTTTGAGCTGGTACAAAGTGGCTTGCTCCCCATCTCTCAATGACATTGCTTCAGAAGGTGCCTTCTCCATCCTGAAATTCTCAAATGTCTTATTTTATAACACCCTGTATGCAAATGAACTGTAGTGAAAGAGGATAGCATTCTAGGCACATTTAAAGAGTATTCCCCTTCTATTTCAGAGACTCTTCAAAACTGTTAGAGATAAGTAATAAACTTTTATTACTCACAGGTTGATTTTTTTACAAGCTATTTTTTTGAAGCAGAAAGCAGTATTTTCTAAGAAGCACTTAATGTTGTTAATTTTTTTAAAAGTGAGACTATTAGCTTGCAACACTTTTTTAAGACAGTTAAAGGATGAGGGAATGCTGAGCAAAGGGTACACCCAAGACTGCTGATCAGATTCCTAATTGATCTGTTTGTGGTTAACAACCCCCACCTGTAATCAACTGTGGTCCTATCTATCCAACTTTCTCTTTCACTACTCCTGAACTAGGACGTTTCACAGGAGTCACTGTTGATCTCCATTCTGTCTGCATCTGTTCCTTTGATCTCACCAGCAACTCTATCTAAAGGGCCCTCTTCCTGCTGGTTTTCTGCCTTTTCTAAGTTAATGTTTCCACTCCAGCCCATTTCAAGCCCCATTTCTTACAAAAAGCTAGGCTTCTCTTTCCTGCTGGTAGTCACTACCAGAGAGTAGATTATGCAATGGCGCTCTCTGGTTTCAGGTCACTTTATATATACTTCTCTAACCCAACTGTCTGTTCTTGGAAGATGGGGAACCTGGCCTTGCTCCCCAACCTTTAAAAAAATTCTAAGCTGGGTGGGGTGGTTCATACCTGTAATTCCAGCACTTTGGAAGGCCAAGGCGGGTGGATCACCTGAGGTCAGGAGTTTGAGACCAGCCTGGCCAACATGGTGAAACTCCGTCTCTATTAAAAATATAAAAATTACTCGGTGTGGTGGGGGCACCTGTAATCCCAGCTACTCGGGAGGCTGAGGTAGGATAATCATTTGAACTCAGGAGGCAGAGGTTGCAGTCAGCCAAGATCATGCCACTGCACTCCAGCCTGGGCAACAGAGTGAGACTCCGTCTCAAAAAAAAAAAAAAAAAAAAAATCCTAAAAAACACTTGGTCTTATACCACATATAGTCCAATTCTTGTATGTCACAAAGTGGAAAGAACATATGCTTGGGGACAGAAAATCCTGCATTCAAATTCTAGATTTAATATAAACATTCAGTGTGAACTTGGGTAAGTTCCTTTACTTTTTTGAGTCTGCTTTCTCATCTGTAAAAAATGAACACAATAAACTTTCCACATAAACCTGTTCTGAGAATTAGGTGAATAAGGTTGAATATTGTTTCTGTAAGGTCATTTCTACAATACCAGGGTAATATGAATTATGTGTGCAGTTTTCTTACTATCTGCTTTAAAACTGACAAAAAGCTTAGAAAACTCTGAGGAACAGATATAAGTTCAATAAACATAGGTTCCAGGATATATAAATGTAAGTTGCTAAGACTACTTCTTAATAGCAGTGTGACTCTGGGAAAACCACTTGCCCTCTCTGAGCCTCCATTTCCTTATTTGGGGTATGAGAATAATCACATACCTATTATAGCGACTTACCTAGAATAGTGAATGGTCCAGGGCTCTGGCTCAAGAAAGAGGAGTTCCTATTCCTTCTGACCAGACACTACCTTGTACTGTGCTTGGATACGACTTGTACTCGAGTCTTGTCTCCTCAGAGAGGAGGTAAGCTACCTGAGGTTCCGGGCCTCAATGCCAAACTCAGTATTGGCAGTATTCATCAAAGATGCATAGGTCAATTTCTTGTCTTTTGAGCTTTAGTTAGTACTTCTCTCTGTGATAACCAGCCATCCCTTCTCCAGTTGTCTTGGCTCATTCCAACATGGAGAGGAGAATAAGTGAATTCTCTGTAAGGACTATTGTCTCTTTTAGTATTTAAAAGCAATGATAGCAGTCAGAGTCCAGTCAGGGTAGCTGAAACTACTTTAGGTCTTTCAACAGCAGGAATTAAATATAAGAAATTAGTTTCACTGGTGACATAAGAAACCTAGAAGCCAAACAGGTTGTTGAAGCCACACAGAGGTTACCAACAGCAGAAAGCTGCTACCCCTCTTAGGAATCAAGGGATGATAGGAGGCAGTGATGGGACCAGAGCCAGGAGCAGGGAATGTCAGCCTAGAACGGAAACCAAAGAAAAGCTGAGTGGCCAGGACTGGGACCTGAGAGAGTCTGGGAGCTGGAATCAGACAGAAGATGCAGCTGCTGCTGTAGCAGTGGAGAAATGACCTAACTTCTGCCTGCATGTCATTCTCCTACCAGTATCCCCCCCTGGCCAAACCTACCCAGAGGTCGGGTGCAAGAGAACCTAGGAAGTGTAATACACAGCAGAGCAGGGGAAGAGGCACTCGCCGAGAGCAAACAGGCAAAGGACCAGCCCGGCTATCTTCCAGTAATGTATGTAAAGCATTAATACAGCATGTAATTTATAGTCAGCTAATAGTAATGATAGTTATCATCATAAATATTACTATAACTTTGTATACCTCTCATTGAGTGTTTATTCATGTGAGTAACTGTGCCAAATACTTTATACATATCATCTAATTTTCACAACAATTGCATGAGGTATGTGCCCTTAATAGTCTTATTTTTATACATGAGTAAGTAGGCTTAGAGAGGTAAAAGGACTAATCCAGTGCACAGCTACAGGATTTGAAATATGGCCCAATTTATTACTTATAATATGAATCATACTGCTAATAGTAAAAGACAGGGTACTAGATAAGCTGAACATGAAACTCCTCTCAATTACTGGAGACCTATATTTCCAGGGCTGAGAGCCTAGAACACTCTGTGAGCATTAAGTTTGCCCTTAAAAAAAATAGAGATTAAAAAAAAATAGAGCATAGCAGACCATCTCTCAGGCAAAATATTTCATAGGGTAGCAGTTGTCCAAATGAAAAAAAAAATGTATCACTTAATGTGGTTTATAAAAGTCCACAGCATACTCTCTTAAAGGCAACAGGGTATTTTTGCTATGAGGATGCCAAGTTCAGCAGTCTCTGTGGGCTTGCTGTTTACTGATATTTGATATGCTTCAACATCTGTTGCCCTTCTCGATTGATGGGTGCTTCATTTTAGCACTCATCTGATGCCAGGCTGGTAAAAAGCTTTAGTATTGAGGTCCTGTGAGATACTCCTAGGTCAGTAACACAGCTCTGTTTGCAAAGCGGGCCAAGGGAAGAAATATTCATGGAAAAAAGGTGAAAGGACATGCTATCTATCTACCAAACCGGGTATTCTTGGTAATATCCCTAGGACAAGTGACATCTCCAAAAAGCTATAAACCCAGGCTATCCTAGACACGAAGTCAGGTTTCAAGTTATGATCTGGACTCTGGCAAGGTGGTATATAATGAATTCTTCTGCCTTCTTCTGTAAGAATTCCATGGAAGGATTTATAAGTTCATTTTTAAAGAGATAATAATGTTAGAATTTGGCATAAGGAAAAATGTGGTCTCTTTTAAAGAACGGGTATACTTCCTTGACTCCATATGACTTGACATATTTCCCAGTTTTGCCTTGGTTGCTTGAAGTTCAAAGTAATCCCTTAGAGGATTGCTTGAACAGGTGTTCGAGGCTGCAGTGAGCCATGATTATGCCTCTGCACTTCAGTCTGGGCAATAGAGCGAGATCCCATTAAAAAATAACAAGAAGAACTGCCTAGTCCAGGTCAGAGACCCATAGATATGCCAGATCTGTCCCATAGGTATTTGGTGTGACACTCACCAATCCAGAGTTAAAACAACCTGAATTTCAACATCCTGTGGCAGTACTTTGAATACAAATATTAGTAATAACACTTTTCTAGTACTTTTTTCTTACCTAACACAGAATCAAATCACCTTGTCCTTTGCTGGTATCTTCCCAAGTTTGTATGGCCTGAGTGGCCCCTTAAGGCATTTGAGTTAGAGGATGCCCCCCCTAGTATAAGGGATTGGTGTATTTTCCTCTTTTTACATTGTTTCTAACTTGTGAGTTTTATTCCAGTAGCCTACTTAGTCACTTTTTGTACGCTTTCTTAAATCCTTTGTGGAAGCAGAGTACGAATAATAAACAAATAAACTGTTTAGTTCCCTAAGCAAAACTGCCAAGATCAGTGCAGCAGCTGCATTTCTACTGCATCCTAGGGCTAATGCTCCCTGGAGAGTCACTTGCTTCTGCTCTACCTGCCCCACCTGTCAAAGGGTCACCACAGCTATAGGCTCTGCCCCATCATTCCCTCAAGCAGAAAGAAAGAACTTCTTCCTCAGTAGTGAGTGAGAGGTCTGGACATACTTGAGGAGTATCTACCCTGTGACATGCAAATCTAGCATGTGACACACAAATCTAGCTATAGGTGCCCTCCAAAGCATGGGACTGTGGGGTACATGCAGAGAGCAGGGCTGGAGCCAGACCACTTAAGTTTAAAACCATTTTTCTGCCACTAACCATCTGGGTAAACTTAGGCAAGCTTTTCAATAACTTGGTGCCTCAATTTCTTGCTTAATAGAGATACCACCTACCCCTTATGGCTGTGGTGAAGATCAAATGAACACAGGGAATGATAAAAGTACTTTTCTACTGAAAAGGATTGTGCTAAATGTGCTTTCATTCACAGAACACTAGCAGAAACTCAATGGGGTCAGTTAATATGGAACTGAGCTCAGAGAAATTAAGTAGCTTGCCCAGCCAGGATTGTTCACACAGCTAGCAAGTTGAGGAGATGCCATCACCGTGGGGTTCAGCAAGGTGACTTAGAGAGCTACTTTCTGCTGCTCCATTTGATTTCCTCTTACCCTGCCTGTGATGGACTTAGCTCACTTACTCTTTCCACTCCTCGCCCCACATACTTGGCAGGTAGTTGCCACAATATCACAAGACTGAGGATCCAGCAGTTTTTACTAATATTTACTATGTTGAGCTGAAATGGAGAGAGATTTGTCCCGAGTTGAGGCCCAAGCTCCTTCCTCTGCTTTCAGAGGAGGCACTTTGCAGCAAAGATGAAAAGCATAGGCCTGGGGGTCCCACAGCACCCTGAATTCTAGCTCTATCACCAGCTAATCCTCCAAGGCCCAGTTCAAAGGTTGCCTCCTCTGGAAGACTTTCCCAGCCCTCTTAAGACAGTGGAAGACACTTCTCAAATGCTCCATCATTCCATTGTAGAGTAATTGCAATTTAAACCAAAATAGCCAACATTAATAAGACTATTTTGCTTTATGTATAGTCACATTTACTCCTTACAATATGAGTTATGAGATAATATATCTCTGCTGTTATCTTTTACAGGTGAGGCCTCTGAGGCATAGAGAAACTAAGTAACTCACCCAAGGTAAGTGGTAGAGCCAAGATTTGAGTCCAAGCAAATAGTTTTTGCCATTACACCTTAGAATTTTTCATAACTGTATCCATCTGTTCCAACCTCCCCGCAAGCTGTAGACTGGAAATTCCTTGGGTACCAACATTGTGTCTAATTCTTTGATGTCCTGCTACTGTCTAAGGCTGCTCCCGTCATGTAGGCTTGTGCTGATGAGCCTTGGCTTAAAAAATGAAACAGCCATCCTTATCACCTACTTTGAATCAAGGCCCCCACACACGACTTTTCCAGATCTAGTCCACCGTCATCTGTCAGCCCAGCTATCACAGCCCACCCAACCTCCAGCAGCGGAGGAGAGCAGAAAATGCATCCTGGTATTACAGGAAGGACCTGAGTAAAAGGTGCATTAATAGGGGCAAAAACAAGCCAGTGGAGTGATTAATTTGGCTTCCCCTTCAATATTCTGTTTACACAAGTTCATTATATAGCACTTAATTACTAATTTGCCCTACTTAAACTAAGAGTGTTTTTAATTTTTAATGACATAAGGGAAGAAGATGCCTTTACTTAGTAAGGAGCAGCTATTTTATTTCCTTCTCTTGTTTTGCCCAGCCAATTAATAACATTTCTAAGGAAATGCATCCTTCTTATGAATTCTTTCTCCCTATCTTCTTCCCGACTTCCCAGGCTTAAAAAGAGATGGCAACAGACAACAACCACTTAGAAACAAACTGGATTCATCTCTGACCTGGCTAGCTGGGCTGGGCAAGGCCTTGTAACATGGAGTAACATGGTATACATAAACAGTGCTATCTGATTGGGGGGAGCTGGGTTGTATCTATTCCCAGGAATCATGATTAGCATATGTATGAGGAACACAGTCATAGGTCTCCATATAAGGCAATCCGCCCAACAACCCTGCTTCATTTCTTGGTGTTAATGTCAGATAATTTTAAACACAGTCCTGGGATAGCTTACAAACAGAGAGGGGCATGGACTTTGGAGTCAGATCTGGATTTGATTGCTGGCTCTGTCACTTGCTAGCTGTTAGACCACAGGCACGTTACTTAAACTTTTTGAGCCTGTTTCTTGCCTGTAAAGATGAAGTGAATAATCTAACTTGAAAGAATTGAATGTCATCTAAAGTACCTTAGCACAGTGCCAGGCTCAGATTAGGTACAGACAAATATTCGTTTTCTTCTTTTTAGTAGAAGGTAAGGTAGGAAAATCCAAGCAGGGAAAGGGACTCCAGTGTGTTTATCATTAACTACAGAGCAAGGAATCTCAGTGCTATTCAAAGGCCCGTCTGTAATGGTGAAAGGAGTTGGCCCCAGGATATAAGCCAGCACACCGATTCCTTCATTGAGAACATCTTGCTGTGAATAAAATGACAGCTGAACTAAACAGTACACTTGGTGACATAGTTGATTTACATTCTGATGCAAGTTCCTTGTTTCACAGCAAATCTGAACAAACCATTTAGAGACTGGCCTCTAGTCTGCAGACCGCTCTAAATAGTCCAGGCTGGGTGACTCAGTTGGATGTCTCCAAGTGCTTCTGAAGATCCCTCCCACCCTCCTCTGAGCTTAGAGATGTGGCCTTATACAGAATATATCGACAGGCTCCCTTGCTCTCTGATTCTGATTCCAGCCAACGGTGAGGCTGGCAGGAGATTAGAGAGAGGGAGAATAGGGTTAACAGTGCAGCCCTTTTCTTCCAGGGTCACTGTGCAGTCTCCACACAGCCCTCTGTTCTGGGCTTCCAGTAACTGCACTGTTTCCTTGCCTCTGCAGGCCCAGCCGTTCCAAACTCCAGGCTACCACATTCTCCCTGTGATTCCTCTATGTCTCTATGCCTGCAATTTTGTAAATAGTTCCTCTTTTAAACCCTCTCAAATTGCTCTAATTTGAGGGTGCTCTCTGTTTACCGGTGAGGACACTAACATTTACCAAAGAGATATTTTAATATACATTGAAATTCTTGTCATCTATTTCTGATACTAGTTTTTAAACTAATGGTAATCACTTAGCCGCATAAGAGTCCATTTCCACTTTTGGCTGGCTCTGTTACTATCTAGCCATTGGCTTTGGTGACTCACTTAACCTCTCTAACCCTGTTACCTCATTTGTCTTTATATACAACTTGGAATATGGCATAACTTTTTTAAATGTTCAAATTTCTTTGAAATGCATACAATTAAAGACATGCTATTCAAGATTGTGATCCCATGATAGTTTCTTATGGTTCATTGCAGAGGATCAAATACCTCTGTTAGGAAACTATAATTATGATTTCTTTCTTTTTCCTTCTGCATGTTCTTGATCATTTGCCTAAATGCTTCAACTGAAACTCTTATTTCAAGACACTGTACCTTCCACACTCTGAATTGAACATCAAATTTTTCTAGTAGTATGTATGTGTTTGTGTGTGTGTGTGTGTGTGTGTGTGTGTAGTTATTTTTCAAGGCAACTTTTCCAATCACAGAATATTCCTGATTTAACTAAAAGCCTTGTCTTTCCTGATCTCTTATTTGAATCCATAGCTTAATTTACTGTGTTGCATACTATACAGCATGGACTTCACTGCTATTCATGAGTTATTTTAGTGTAAAGAAAGAATAACCTATTTCTAATTTATTCTAACAAGAAAGTTCATAATAAAAAGTAAAGGCATAAATAGTAATTAGAGTGAAGAATTAATTACTTACAGACACTTCCTTCTATGAGATAATCTTATACTTTTTTTAGGTTTACATCAGTATGAAATGCCATCTTGAACAAAATCAAGTCAAATAGGCAAACCTTATGATAGAAAGAGAGTTCTGTAATCCTTCAAAGTTTCTAAGAACTTAGTAGATATTTAGCCATTGTCTGCTTTTATAAAAGCCCAATTCTCATATTCCTGAATAAAAATTGTGGGTGGGGAGGTGAGAGAGATATTTGGGAAAATATGTTTTGTTAGCATAAATCTTTGTGTTAATAACAACAATAAAGTATGTTTTAATTCAAGTTCTTTTAATCTATCACTGTATTCCTTAATCTATTGTACTTCTTTATTAAAGTATCATTTAATTCATGTTCTTAAAGTGCTTTTTATTTCTACCTAAAGTGCTTTTTTAAATCTACCTTTTTATATCTATAAAAAGTAAACAGGCATATATTATAATTAAAAGCAAATAAGTAGAGCAAAATAACACTGGTGAGTATGATCATTCTCTAATGCATTAGAATATTTTAATACCAAAGAGAACACTCTTTTTATTTTTATTTCTATGTTGGACACTCAACCAAGCAATGATGACAAATGTGTGATGCTATTTTTATAAACCATACCACCTTGTGAGAGGTAGCTGAGTTGCCATAGTGCACTTCCCTAGCAATGTATATATATTTATAGGATATGGTCTGATGGAATACAAAGAGCATGGGCTTTGTATTAAGCAAGTTATACAACATTTCTATGCTTCAGAGTCCTCATCTGCGCAAAGGTCACTGCTAACAATCCTGAGTTGCTTCAAGGATTCTATGAATGACAATGGATGGAAAGTAAGAGATCCTGCTCTTGGATCACTCTGTAAAGAAGAGGAGAGTCAAATGATGTGTATCTTCTATTGAAATAATTTCCTTAAAAAATTATAATTTTGAGCTAATGTTTTGACTTTTATATCCATGGTATCATTCTGCAAACTGGATTGGAACCAGAAATTTTATAATTAATCAGAACCTGATCTATTTTTGTTTTATTCTTTTTTTTTTTTTTTCTGGAGGGGTAGAGAAAACTCTTTAAAAAATGTATTGTTAACCAGGTATGGCAATAAGGATAATGAATGTTAGAGCCAACATCATATTCTTAATTGAATTCTTCTTTTGACTATTAATTATTATACCATTCTAAAGTTTTCTGTTGACTTTCTGAGGGACCTTGACATATGGGACAGGATACTCAGAAAATTCAATCAGTAATCTGAATCTATTTAATTAGGAATGAGAATCTCATCCAGAAACACATGCTTAAATAGCAAAGGGCAAAAGGCTACTAAAAAAGCTGATAATATCAGGACCATATGCGAAATGAGTAGGATTATAAGAGGCCTGGGGATGAAAGCTAAATAGAACTAAAATGGAACTAAAATCCATGGCAAGAGATTCCTTATACACAAGAAACGTAAACCCTGAGTTTTCACACACTATTGATGGGAGTATTTCTATACTATGTATCAGAACTCTAAATGCTAGGCACACGTTTTGCATGCCTCCAATTTTATTTTACTGATATAATTTAGGATGTGTGAAAACATTTAGTTACAGAGATATCAGTTGCAGCATTCTTTAAAAACAATGGAGAAAACCTAAATATTCAAGTCTGGAGGACTGGCAAAATAAGTTAAAATATATTCTGGCCAGGCAAGATGGCTCACGCCTATAATCCCAGCACTTTGTGAGGCCGAGGTGAGTAGATCACAAGGTCAGGAGATGGAGACCATCCTGGGTAACACAGTGAAACCCCGTCTCTACTAAAAATACAAAAAATTAGCTGGGCTTGGTGGCATGTGCCTGTAGTCCCAGCTACTCAGTAGGCTGAGGCAGGAGAATTACTTGAACTCGGGAGGTGGAAGTTGCAGTGAGCCGAGATCTCTCCACTGCACTCCAGCCTGGGCAACAGAGTGAGACTCAGTCTCAAAAAAAAAAAAATATATACACACACACACACACACACACACACACACATTCTATCAGGTAGAAAATTATGCAGCCTACAAAAATGATAAATAAAGAGGTTTACTATATATTCTGGGGTATAGGAAAAGGTCTATAGAGGTAAAACTTTATGCATTGTATGAATTTTAATTAAAAAGTTTAAAATGATTTTAAAATATGAACAAAAAGACTAACAGCATAGAAAGCATAATATTAAATAGTTAATAATTAAATAATTTAAAATAGTTATTTTAAGATAACAAGATCAGTTTTCATATTTTCTTTCATCTTAATTTTTTTTATTTTTGTCCCCCAAAGAACATGAATTATTGTTTGCATTCCAGAAAAAGAAAAAAAAATACAAGCAAACTAAATTGAATGCACCAAGAAATGGGATGGTTTCCTTCTTCTGAATATCTACAATGTTTCAATCCTTCCTAATCTCTAGAAATTAAAATAATGATAATCAGCTTTTATTTTGCAAATAGCAAAACTGGTATTTACGGTGAGAGAAAGCCAAATAGAGCTAAAAAAATCACAGAAAGTTGACTTACAAAATAAAACATAATGAGAGACATAGTATATATAAAAATCATAACAGGTGATGAGTATAACTGGCTCTAAATGAAGTGAATTTCATGAAAAAGAACAGAAGGAGAGGCTTCAGCTAAGCAAGGAGGATGTTTGCAAGGACTGACCTCAAGGGTAGACCAATGTGGTCAGCATGGATGGTTTATCTTGTGGGTACCCATTACAGAAAGGGTGAGTAATCACAGCTCTCAACTGGCCACTTACATGTATTGGTCTTGAAGACACAGGAGTCTGTCTGGAACGTGACAGGGAAAGTTGATGGTTGGAGTGCATGGAGTCGGTGGTTTACAGGGGTGGCAACCCTCACACAGTGGGAGGAAGGAAGGTTTGTGATTAATTGGCTGATTCCAAGGGCTTATTTTCTTTACATTGGTACTCCCCTTAAAATGACTGCTGAATGCATTTTGATCTCATCACTGTCTCCTTTTACTGATTTTTGCTTCAGATGCTTCCTCCGTTCCTTTTTTTCAGGGGTAGGGGGTAGTTTTTCAAGTCAAATAGCACTGCTGGAATTACAGCTTGTTTTGTCTACATAGACTTGAATAAAAACTGCCCCTGAAGATAAGAAATTACAGAAAGCTAATGACATCTGCAGGGGGCCTGAAGGAAACAAAGTGAAGAGCCATTTCATATTGCTGTCTCTTTGCCATATGACAGTTTTATCTCACAATGACTTGAAACTGCTTCTTGATTTATTTATCTGTCCTTGTATTTCTTAGAATCTTTTAACTGTCTGTGCTTAGAAAATGTAAGCATAGTGGTATTTCATAAATTTATTTTTTCCCATTTGTTGATTTTCCAGGACCCGGGAGCCTAGAAAAGTGTTATGGAACAATCTCAACTTCTAATTATTATTATTTGTTTTCCAAGATATTCAGAATTATAGAGCATCATTTTGTACTCTACTGATGATGGGGGAGGGATCAAGCAGAAAGGTCACAGAGGTCAAGACTATAGGGATTCCAAACTCTAAGAGTAAAGGAAGCGGAAATGGACTGCCTTCCTTGTGTCCCCTCCCATCTATTCAATAGCTAATCTTTTACCTTGAGAATAGCATATGTGTGGTTGATTCCATATTATTCACTAAACTGCAGATATAAAGGTGATAATGATTTGCCGTCAAGAATACTTATCTTCAAGGAGATACTTTTTAGTAAAGACAAAGTTTTAAAAACTACTAAAAGGAAAATACCTTTTCTAAAGAGGGGCAACTCTTTAAGATAGTATGAGTTGTTCTATCCTTTAGAATGAATGAATGGCTGTATCAGTATTCTCTGTGAGATCTGAATTTGGCAAAGAAATAGAAGGAAGACTTTAGATGTCTAAAGGGAGAGAGAGCAGGAAAGGACAGGGGAAGAGAGACAGAGAAAAACTAAGAGAAGGAGAATCTGAATGGATAGAAGAACAGAAGGAGGAAGCTGGGAACTGTCAGCATATTTCAAAATTTGCAATATCCGTAGATTTTGTTGTTGACCAATCTTTCATTAGGCCCCACCAGAAAATTCTATCCAGTCTCCCTTCCTCTGATGAAATTCTCCCAGAATTGAGATACATAGAGTCTACAATAGCTATAAATAAAATCTACAGCTGTGGGTCCATTCTGATCCATTGGTATCACCCAAGAAAGGTATAAGACTCTACCCCTGGCTGAAATCATCGATTCAGGGGCCTAGGAAATTCAGAAAATTTCAGAAACCCTGTCTCCTCAAGCACATCAGATTGTTCCCTACATCTACTATCTGGATCCTCTGGATTCATCCTAGCCTTCCTAGCATCTGAATGAGATGACTCTGTCTGAGTCTACCAAAGTTGGCCTATCTAGATAAGAAGTGAAATCCTCCATCTAACCACAGATACGTAGTCCATGGAAGATAAAACATCTGGCTTGCTGGAATAGTTGAGATGCTGGAAGGACTTGCTCAACTTTCTTAAGGAGGGAAAGGCAGGCACCCTACAAACAAGCCAGGATCTTTGAAGTTCAAATAAAAGACTGTGTTGAAGTTCAGGATGAAAATATGAATCACAGAAAGAAAGCAATTCTGTTTTGCCTTACCTTGCCAGAATCTGGAGCTGGTCCCCAGGCCTGGGGCACACAGGTTGGCCCTTGTTCTTTGGAGGGGAGCAAATGATGCCAAGTCTATATGCATTTTCATTTCCAAAGCAGTTCCAAACATAATCATTCTAATGACATTGATTATACCTGAGAGATCACTGGAACTTTAAAAGGCTCTTCATCTTAACAGTCCCATATGAGTGACAATTCTTATTAAAACATTTTTTAAAAAAATACATAAAACAGACAAACAAAACAAGCACCCAGAGAGAACAAGTGACATCGTCTGAGGATACACAAGCAAGCACAGAACTCCAGACTACGGGATTCTGTCAAGTAAGTGATGACAGATAAGACCTCAGGCCTCTTCTCAGCGAGGGGCTCCCTTTTCTAGCTTGTGTCTCCTGAAAATGATCAGGACAGGCACATACATCCTTGGGCTGAATAGGAGACATGAGCTCATCTTTACAATGCTGTGAGCCTTGTAGCTGCTACAGAAGTCATCAGTTCCAAATCTTATCTACCATATCTTAGATTCTGTTCCAGAAGACTAACAGCAACTCTCACGTAGCCAGGATGTCAGTGTGGAATTAAGCTGAGTTTCTCACTAGGGGAAAAAATGAGTGGAATTCCTTTGGAGCTGGAGATCCCAGTTTTGAATATCAATGAAGTGGCTGGGCAGTGGCTCACTCCTGTAATCACAGCACTATGGGAAGCCGAGGCGGGCAGATCACAAGGTCAAGATATGGAGACCATCCTGGCCAACATGGTGAAACCCCATCTCTACTAAAACTAGAAAAATTCACTGGGCATGGTGCTGCGTGCCTGTAGTCCCAGCTACTCAGGAGGCTGAGGCAGGAGAATCACTTGAACCCAGGAAGTGGAGGCTGCAGTGAGCTGAGACCACGCCATTGCACTCCAGCCTGGTAATAGATCGAGACTCTGTCTCAAAAAAAAAAAAAAAAAAAGATATCAATGAAGCCATAAGTCATGGTATGAAGTATCTGGAAGTATCTGACAGAGCAGCCTCATCTTGACACTATCTCTGTTTGAGCTACAGACTATCTCCTGATTTGTGACCCCTGGCATTTCTTTTCAGAAAATACATCACTGAACACTCAAGAAGCCAGAAAATATTTTTAAAGAAAAAACAAACGGAACAAATTAGAAAAAGAATGACAATCAGGATAAGATATAGACCCAGAGAGACCTTCATTTCAATTCTGCTTCTGCCCTTTCTGTGTAGCCTTGGGGAAATTACTCAAAACATCTCTGAAGCTTGGTTTCCTATCACAGAAGGATAAAAACATACATTCTGCAAGCAGGAAGACTGTCAAGATTAAATGAGGTGTCTTAGCTCAGGCTACTATAACAAAATACCATAGACTGGGTACTTAAACAACAGAAATCTATGTTCTCACAGTTCTTGAGGCTCAAAGTCTGAGATCAGGGTGCCAGCAAGGTCAGGGTCTGCTGGGAGCCCTCTTTTGGCTTGTAAACAATGGTCTTCTTGCTGTGTCCTCACATGGCAGAGAGAACAAGCAGGCTCTCTGGTGTCCTTGTATAGGGGCCCATCAGACCATCATAACCCGTCAGACCAGGCTCCTTCCCTCATGATTTCATCTAACCCTAATTATCTGCCAAAGACACACCTCCACATACCATCACATTGAGTGTCTAGGCAAATTTTGCAGGAATACAAAATATTCAGTTCACAACACAGGGTAACCTCTGCAGAACCGTAGTAAAAGCATCCCTCCTGTTTTAACTATTATAATTTGTTGCTGGAAGGATAAGATATCTAGTTGTGAGAACATCTCTGTCAGCTGACACATTAAAAGAATAAGTGACAATTCATTGTTATTTCAACAACAAGTATCTCCATGTGCTATTTTTGAGAAAGGACCAGGCTATCCAGAAAAAAGTCAAGAATTGAACCATACCATCTTTGTTTAAAGACTCACTTAGAACTAGCAAGTATTCATGAGTGGATTTAATTCCTTGTGAAGGAGATTTCACAGTCATTAGTTTCAGAGGCTTGGACAGTGTGTAGTGTGCCACATTTTCCAAAATGCAGTACAAACAGCATCACAGTTTTACATCTGTCTGTTCCTAACAGTGTACCCTTAAGTTTTTTAAGCTTTCTGAATCTCTGTTGCCCAATCTCTGTGGCTCATGAGCATTGTTATAGGTATTAGGAAAATTATCCAAAAAGCACCTAGCACAGTGTCTAGCACATAAGAGGCTCACAATAAATGAAGCTCTAATTACTGAGCTACTAGTGAAAAACCTGGCTTGTAGTCCTAACCTTGAGACCATAGGCAAGTCATTTGGGCACTCTGCTTCTTAGCTGAACAAATATCTCTCAAACATTCAGTTAAGAAATGGGAGCCAGACTTCTTGTTTCTGGCATTTACTAGCTGTTTCATTTAGGCCAAGTTATTTGACTTCTTTAGGCCTCAGGTTCCTCAGCTATCAAATGGGGATAACAGCTGTTGCAGGGACTAAATGAGCATGCTTGACACACAGAAAGAACTCATGATGTGCTGTGAATTACTATTATGAATAAAGAAGTGGAGGTGCAGAGAAGAGGGTTTAGGCCACAAGGGATGGTGGACAGTCAAGCTAGGATTTGTGCCCAGGTAGTCTAATGCTAGAACCTGTATGCTCTTAGCCTCTGCATCACATTCATTCTTTACCTTTTTGTATTATTTTAGCACTCAAAACCTCTCCACAAAGCCCGATGTGTGCAAAGTCTTTCGCAATCTGGTGGGAGGAAAAGTTTTGTTTTTCACCAGAAACTAGTATGTTTCCTCTTTTTGAAAATACGAATTATGCAATTTATCATGTGTTCTTTTTTGTCTTGGCTGCCAGGAAGCTCAGAGCCAAATTATGTGTTTAATCACAGCCACCAAATCGTTTCCTTCTTCCTATATGTATCTCTGTTCCTTATTTACCTTTTTAATTCCTTTTTTATTTAATACTAACATTTTCTTTCTTTTTTTTTTTTTTTTTGAGACACGTTGATCTTGTTGCCCAGGCTGGAGTGCAATGGCGCAGTCTCCGCTCACTGCAACCTCTGGCTCCTGGGTTTAAGCGATTCTCCTGCCTCAGTCTCCCTAATAGCTGGGATTACAGGCACCTGCCACCATGCCCAGCTAAATTTTTATATTTTAGTAGAGAAGGGGTTTCTCTATGTGGGCCAGGCTGGTCTGGAACTCCTGACCTCAGGCAATCCACCTGCCTCAGCCTCCCAAAGTGCTGGGATTACAGTCATGAGCCACCATACCTGGCTTAATACAAATATTTTCATTTTTGTCTCTTGTTGATAGAGGCCATAATGGTATTTGAAAAATGGTGGGGTTGACATAGGCAAACAAAAATCTGAAATACACATGAAAAACTGAAAGTTTTGAGCCTTACCTGTTTCATGTGCTCAAAGAAAAGTGGTCAAAGGGAAATTTAAAATGAATACTTTATGTTAAAGAAGAAAGAAAAAAAACCAACTGAAAAACACAACAACCAACACGAACTAAGGCCAAGTCAATGCAATAAATATGTCTGAGGCTAGAAGTGTTTGTGCTTTCCCTGGCTGGAACCTATCATTTCTTAATTATATCTTGTATGTGTTTTGTAAAATGTGAGCTGCTGTCAAGAGGAAGGATGGCCTCAGACAGGGGAGGAGACACACTCCACCCCCTGGTCCTCACATACCTGTACAGAAGCGAAATCCCCTGAGGCACAGGCACCCAGAATAGCAGCACCCACAAGAACAGACTCCACCTCTTGCGACAGGACCACAGGCATGCCTGTACAGGATAAGGCCACACCTTGGTTAGGGAGCAGAGCCAGGGGGGTGTGAGGAGCCAGCAAGCAGCCACAGTGGCAAAAACACCTGACATCAGAGCAGTGGCAGGCCCTCCTCCCAACTCCCCGTAGTCCTCCCTTCCTTGTTCCTTGGGATTACTTGGTTCTAAAAGATTTCACTGCCTGTGCCTGCTGGTGCAGTAGCCAAAGGCCCAAGGGAGCCAATACCATGTATATCAACTCACGAGATCTCAGTACCCAGGTTTTTCAGGTTCCTGCAAGCTGCTACCTGCCATTTGGTTCAAGTTCAGATCCATAGATGTTTATTAACTGCTTTGCTGGCCTAGGGAATGCTGAGATGAATTGGACTGTGCCCTTCTATTTAGGTTTCAGAGGGAGATGGATGAAAGAGATGAAGGCCTGGTTCTCTAACTGAGATGTGCTAAGGGAAGGGAGGTAGCAAGAGAGGGTGTGATTCATTCCTCCAGGGGCTTCTCCCCTCTCTCAGGGTACATGCCATAGCCCTTACGGTGGCTGACAAGGGGCCCTCCCTCCCGGATCTGGCCCTACTTCTCCCACTCTGATCTCCTTGTTTCCTCCCAGCCACGTAGTCCTGGCCTCCGTGCTGCATCCTGAGTATGCTTTGGGGCCCTTGACCATGCTGTTCCCTGTCTGGAACACTTCCTCTCAGATGCCTACATGGTAACTGCTGGCTCCTCCCTCAAGTGTTTCTGCAAACATCACCTTCCTACTGAGCCTTCCCTGGCCATCAGATTTAAAATTACACTTCCCTCAACACTCCTTACCCCTTAACAGCTTCATCCTCACCTTCCAACATTGTATTTTACTTACTTATCTTGTTTAATGTATGTCTCCTCTGCAAGAACTTAAGCTACATGAGGGTAGAAACTCTGTTTTGTCTATGGCTGCATCCCTGGCATCTAGAGCAGTATCTAGCACATGGTAAGCAACTGAATGATGAGAGAACACATTTCTGGGGTAGCGGTCATCACTGATCACCGTGGAGATGAGGCTTAAACAGGCATCTGAAGGGGGAGCAGGGGTCCACCAGGCAGGGAGGAGCCCTCTGCATGCCAATGCCCAGAGGTTGAGGGTTCATGGTAGGTTTAAGATTAATAGAAATAATTTAGGATTCTTAGGTCTCTAATGTATAGATTGATCTGCTAATCAGGAGATGGTAGCAAACTTCACAGAGATTTTGCTATGAAACCTTTTTCTACTCAAGCCATAGGAGTTATTTTCCCAAAGCTTAGATTTCTTTTCCTATCTTGTCTGAGATTTCCTGAGGCACTCTCTCTGCATCCCATTACCTCCTCACTCAGATCTTTCCTCCAGCTACCCAGACAACGAGGGCTGGGAACTAAATTCCCATAGACACCTCAGATAATTTAGAAATACCAGGCCCCAGCTGGGCCAGGGTTTGAGATGTTGCCAACATGGTGTCAGGTGGGGTGGGAATGCTGGGAGAAGCTCAGACCTGAGTTTGTTCCCTGGTTCCACTAGCCCAGTGTCCAGCCAGTCACTTACACTCCTTTAGCCTTGGTTTCCCCAAATGTAAAATGGGGATGGTGACAAGATGTACTGCACAGATGTGTTGTGAGGCTTAATGAGAGGGCACACACTTGGTGCTTAGCACATTTCCTGATCTTCAGTAAGCCCTGGAGAAATGATGGCTGCTACTATTAGAATTCAGATGGATGGCAAGTGAAGCCTCTCCACATGTACAAGACCTGGGCTAAACACTGGATAAGTGGGGAAGGGACAAGAAAGGTTCCCATCAATCATCCAGAGGGGAAGGACAGATACCAGGCCACACTGAAGGGTTGTGCTGACCCCAGCAGGAGAGAGCAATGCAAGCCTATGAAGAATCCTAGGAATGGTACAGATAGGTGTGTGACTGTGACCACCCAGGCTTCCCTATGGACCTGGGATGTTTTAGAAGACAGTGCCTCCAAACACCATTTACTTCCCAAGCCTTCCTTACCCTGCCAAAAGCTTCCCCAGTTGTAAGCAGGGAGGAACTACTCACAGGCCCTTTTCCTTGGGAACCAGAGACCTGAGTGAACCTGGTGAATCCCCTATCAGCTCTCAAGTTGCTGTCCAAAGTGCTCTGAACCCAGACTGCCAGGGATTGAATCCTGGCTTCCCCACTGACTTAGCTGTGTGATTCAGGCAAGTTACCTAACCTTTCTGTGCCTCAGCTTTCTCATCTGAAAAATGGGGTTACAATTCCACCTATCTCAGAGTTGCTGTGAGAATTAAAACTGCTATTATAATGAGGCTCTTAAAATGGTGCTTGGCTTAGAGAAAGCACTAAATTAGCATTAGCTGTTATTCTTAAAGTTTATCTTACTTCTGAAGTTTCTCCTCACACCTGTTACCCAGGGTGGAACCAACCCACTGCTTCCATTTGCCTCTCAGACCAATCCTACCTCTTTCCTTCCTCCTTCCACCTATTCTGAGCCTGGAAGACTGGCCAGTGGGGATCACAGCTGTGGCCCCCTGCCCTCTGGTTCCATCCTTGACTAAGCTCCTGTGGGGATGCCCTTTTCAGACATTCTCCCCAGGCTCAGATTGGGCACTGCTCCCTGCCCTCACCCTTGCAAGTCTGGGGCGGAAACACTGCTGGCATCCTAGGGTACTTCTTGGTTGTCTGGACTTCCAGTACCCTGCCTGCAGCTCTGCACACTGACTCTTTATTCAACTTCCCTCCAGTTAACCTAACTGGAGTGTGTATCTGTTCCCTGCCTGGACCGGACTGACACTAACACATTTTGTCCTCTGGGTCCCTACTCTACTCATTCTGGATATTGATCATAGGACCAAGGGCACTTTTTCTGTGATTTATAAAGAAACTCTTGGCAGGACATTACTGTTCTTCTTAGCATCCCTGTGCCAACATCAGGGCTTGGCACACTGGTGTGCTCAGAGAATGCTTTTGAGTGAATAAATGAATGAAGAAATAATTAAAATAATGAGTAAGACAGGGAGAGGGAAACCCCCACTGAAACTGTCAGTACTAAAAAAATAAAATTTAGAAGAAGGAACATTTAGTCCCAAGTCAGTGGGGGAAACTTAAAATTACTTAGTACACACCAAGTATTTCTTGAAACCACACTTAATCAAATGACCAGGGTACAAGGAGGTTCTTCCTCCCCATGTAGACAACACTTCCCAAGCTGGCAAGGCCCCACTTTCCCTGCTTATACAGAGCAGGCTGTTCTCAATATGGCAAAGATTCACTTTCAAAATAATAAGCTGCTTTTTTTCCTCAAATGTCCCTCTTCCTTTTTGGCATGGGCCTTCCTGGAGGAAATAAGAGAACTAACATTTATTGATCACCTACTTGGCTAGGCACAGAGCTTGGGGCTTACAAACTCATGAGCATTTATTCCTCAGTGGTGATCTACATGATGGAGACAATAACTTTTTTGTTTGTTGGTTTCAGAAGAGGGAACTGAGGCTCAGAGAGGTAAAGTAACTTGCCAAAAGTCACAGAGCTGATCTCTTGCTTTTTCCACTACTCCACACTAGCTGCAAAAAAGCCTCCCAAATTCCAGTGTGTTTTTCACATGCATTTCTGAGAATCATGTGCCAGGTCGACAGTCTTCTAACTGTCTTTGTAGGAAAACTAGAGCAATACAATGTTTAAAGGCACCAAAGACAGTACCTCTTTACTGGCTACTTGTGTACGTGCCTTTTATGGGGACAAATGCAAATGTGTTCTTTTCTCTGAGTGCTGGGTGAAGGAGAGGAAGAGGGCAGCTCGCCTGGAATGTGAACTATTTTATCTGATGCATTAATGAGTTTAGCAGAACCCAAAGCATTCAAAGGCAGATGCACTTTGCCATCACTTGTCAGTCACAGGCTTCCAAAGGCAGAGGAATTCCAGGCTAAAGAAAAGGTCCCTTTGTCTGGAACTGTAACTGGTCCATAGTTAGAGACAAAAGGTCCAGTTTCAATCAGAATCCAAATAACGATTAACAGCCTTTTCATTCAACAGCCTGGAGGAGAACAGTTTCCAAAGCAGAACTTTCTGTGAAGCCGCTGCACTCCCCCTTGCTTCTGAGTCAGCCCAGAGATGTAGGGCCTGGAAGATGACCCATTTTCACAAAGTCCAGGCTGCAGCGCTGAGTCAGTGCCGGGGTCACTCCCAGCTGCCCTGCTCTGGGGGGTGGGCCCTGTTTCCCATTTTCAAGAGTACCGTGTTGTTCAAAGCTGACTTTCATCTTTCCTCTTGCATCTAGGTAGGAAGTTTTTTGGCTATCAGAAGGCTGGCAATTGGGGCCAGACAAGGTTGCTCATGCCTGTAATCCGAGCACTTTGAGAGGCCAAGGCAGGTGGATCACTTGAGGTCAGGAGTTCAAGACCAGCCTGGCCAACATGGTGAAACCCTGTCTCTACCAAAAAATACATACACACAAAAAAGGCTAGAATTTGGAATGTCACAAATCAAATTTTAAGCTTCAATGTTATCTGAACCAGCGAGATGACTTTTAGATAAAATGTTATAGTTTTTCTCCTGAGGACAATTATAAGGCAATATGGGCTCTTTTTATGTCTTTCCTCCTTCTGCTTTAAAATAGCCCACTTCTATAGGGTTTTGGACACCTCAGGAAAGAGGGGTTATCATTTAAATAGTTACAAACTTGGCAGAAAAGTGGAGAAACCTGGGTCAGCAGTACAGTATAAAGGGACAGTGGGCCCAGACACATCATGGTTACAATGTTGGTCCTGCCCCGTACTGGCCGTTTGACTTTAGATAGCCAATTTAATTCACCTACCCACTCCTCAGTTTGCTTGTCTATAAGATGGGGGCATCAATTTCTACCCTTCGGTGGTATGGGAGGATTAAGTGTCTACAATGTGATTCACACTGACCCATAGTAGGTGCTTGGTTAATGGTAGTACTTTCTATACTTCACATCCTGATAGATACTTTCTATACTTCACATCCTGATAGATAGTTCTACCCTTATGCTTTTCTCACTGTCATCAGACTTGTGCCTCAGTCTACTTGTCTCTAAGTTGGGAATAGGTGACTTGCTTCATTTCATCTCCTGATGTGCAGAGATCAGTGATGTCCATCATGTTAGACAAGGCTCTCATCTGCAGGAATCTGTATGGCTTGGAGGGGGAAGGGGGAGATGATGGGGTAGAGACTTTGACCTGCCCACCAGTCAGAGGTAAGAAAGCAGGGGACAAGGGAGAGCAAAGGATCATAATAAATGGAGGTAGGGTAAAATGGGCTCTTATCAGTCTGGAGTTGGGACTATAGGCAGGGTGCAGTCCTATCCCACCTTCCCTCCCCTTGCCCTGCCCTGGTGGTACCTGGCCACCCAGGGATGGGTTCTGGGAGAGAACACCAGTCCCCAGGAGACACTAGGAGAGGCATGGAGTAAAAGGGGTACGGGCATCAGGTCCAGAGAGACGCTCTCTGTGACACCAGCAAGCCTCCTCCCAATGCAGCCCCTTCCTTGGGGCTCCCGGTCTCTGCTAAGGATCCTGCTCCTCTACTATATGCTGATATCATGAAGAGCTCTGCCCATTATTTGTGATTCCCTGCATCTCTCTCATGATTCCTGATTGTAATGAGCTGAGAAGGAATCATGGCATCTCAGGGTCTTAGGGCTCAAATTCCCAGTCTGCAACCAGACTCACAGATCCTATAGCACCTAGCCTCTGCATTCTTTCTTCAAGACAGCTTTCTCATCCCTTCTTCTATCCCACATGACCTGAGCTGACATCAGGCCTGAAACTGGATGAGGTGCCCCACTATGTTTCCATGAAAAAGTACCCTGTACTTTTCTAATTCGGAGCTTTTGCCATACATGCCTGTTTGCTATTTCCCTTCCTCAGTAGACCCTGAATTCCTGGGTCGTGGGGAGCAAGAATCATGCCTTATTCATCCTCATGTCTTCAATATCTTCCACAACGTGTGGATCAAAAGAGGTCTCAAAACTGTTGTGTAAACGCTTGACTTAAGATCTAGTCCTGGCCAACTTCTCTCGTGTTATTTCTCACCATTATTCAACAGTTGAATATATGTAGAAGTCACTTTCTCCATCATGAATATAAAGACTTCAAGTTTATTTCAATAATCTGGCATAACAGGTATATCTCCCTATTCTCACCTCACCCAGAACTTGGCCATGCCTATTTGCTGCCAAGCCAAAAATGACCTTCTCTTCTCCTTCCCAGACTTACCAGTAATGTCTGCATGCATTTGTACAAAAAGGGGATTCTTGCTGAGGCCTCCACACAGGAAAAGAGTACTGATCGAGTGCCCTGCTGCCTCCATGGCTTCTTTAATGAAGCGAGTCCCCAACTGGAAAGGAAAAGCAGAAGATAGCATCCGTGTAGTCACAAAAGTAAACATTAGGGAACACTTCTTAAATGTTTACACAGCGCTAGACACTGCACTAAGAGCTTCACATACACTATCTCAGAAAGCTCAGACTCACAGAGATTATGTTGTCTATGATCACACAGTTAATTAAATTGCAGAGTGGGAGTTTCAACTTGGGCCTGACTGATTCCAAAACCTTCTTAATTACACCATTTGCTTCTATCAGTTACACAACACTGACAAAAACAGTTGACAATCTTAACACAGTTAATGGTAACACAGTTCATTCAAACAGATATTTAACGAGTGTCTACCAAAGCCCAGGCCCTGTATTGGGTACTATCAATCTGAGTGATTGCAATACTACTCTGAAACACAGTCAATGGTACTTTGGTCAGTCTTCCTTTACGAATTGGGAACTAAAGCCTTTTCCTTAGAAAAAGCACCAAAAATTCCAGCAGCAGAATCGTGGAAAGAGGGCTCTAACGGCATAAAGAAGGTGAGATCCAAGACTTCAGGGCGGCTAATGGCTAAAATTACCTTTGCTATTGCCTGAAACCAGGTAGCGGTTCTCTAAAAAGAGGCTTTTGAGCCAAAATCCATTCCCTGGTTGTTTCAGGGCTTCACTATATTTTCAGTTCAGCCTTGTTTCTCAGTCCTTGTGTGTTAATATCTTCCTAAAATGCATTATCCTCATCCTTGTCTTGCTAAGTTCATTAAATTCAGTAAAAACCGTAATTGTTTGAGAGGAGGACACTGCCTTAGAGTTACAGAAATGAATTTTAATGTAGAATTCTTTAGTTTTAGATAGGATATTTAAACATCTGAAAAATCTTAATTTACTCGAGAGTTCAAAAACTAGAGTTCAAAAATCAAATTTTGTTTCTTTTTTTGAGATGGAGTTCTGCTCTGTTGCCCAGGCTGGAGTACAGTGGCGCGATCTTGGCTCACTGCAACCTCCACCTCCTGGTTTCAAGCAGTTCTCCTGCCTCAGCCTCCCATGTACCTGGGATTATAGGTGTGTGCCACCACACCCAGCTAATTGTTTTATATTTTTAGTAGAGATGGGATTTCACCATGTTTGCGAGGCTGGTTTCAAACTTCTGATCTCAAGTGATCTGCCCACCTCGACCTCCCAAAGTGCTAGGATTACAGGCGTGAATCACTGCACCTGGCCACAAATCAAAATTTATTTGGGATAAGGACTAAAACCAAAAAGATGAACTGTGATGTGGTCTTAAGGAAGCAGCCACATGGTGATGTTTGAGGAAGGGGCTCCAGAAAGAATTGAGAAAGAGGATTTTGGTGAGTAGCAAGTCTTTGAAATGTTTAGAGATTGGGCAATGTGGGGTGATGTCAAAGTCCTAGTTGTAGACCTGGGAGTGAATTGCTCAAGTGGAGGGAAGTCAGAAGAGATAAGGAAGCCAAGGATCTGGGAGGCCAATGTGTCTCCACAGCTGGCGTAGCCACCAAGAAGAAGGCATGAGCCAACATCTTGGTTTTTAGTGAAAGTGTGACAGTGTTGTTCAGGATGGAACCTAGGAATGTAGTGAGGGAGAGAAGGTATTTTAGCTGAGGGCAAGAAGAATCAGAAGTTTGGCCAAGGTAAGGAATAGGGTTTTGGAAGTCAGCAGGATGCTGCCCTGACTTCAAGTCCTGGGGGTTGAGGGGTATAGGGGAAACGAAGCCTCCTTTGAAAAGGCTGTCTGGGGAGCTGTTGCTCTAGGGGACAGGGGTACCTGAGGACAGGAGTGGTCAGAGAGTGAGCTGGAAACCTTAGGACATGAAATCCTAATTGCTTTGGCATAAATCATGAGGGACAGGGGCAGTTCAGGAGCAAATGGCACAGCAGTTCTAGCTCAGAGGTCTTTAGGGTTTGTTGAAGGTATTCATGAATCTGGTAAAAATATGGATTCGGTAAAACCTGGGCCTCCAAAAATAATCCACAGATGTAATGTGTTTAAAAAAATTAAAACATGTTGTGCCATATAAGGCCAGATCCTACATACTAACTAGGGCTGATTATTCCCAGATGTTCCTTGTTAAGCTTTTTTGGGGGTCATGAACTCCCTTGAGACTATGCCAAAACCTATTGACCTCCCCAGAAAAAAAATCACATACAAAATAGTACTATAAATAATTTCAGGAGGTCTACAGATGCCCTGAAGTCTACCATGGATCATTTGATGCCTGTGGATTCCGGGCAACCCCAGTCTGCTCTAATGGCATGAATCTGTATTAGCTAAGAGCATGAGTTCTGAATTCAAAAAAACCAGGCTGGCATTTAGGCATTTCATATATTTCTTGTATCTTAACCTTTCTATAACTCAATTGTCATTTTATTTTTGCCATGGGAATAATAGTATCACACTCATTTAGTTAAAAATTCTATAGACTGTCAGAAATGTCAACATGAAAAAATTTAAAATGTGGTTTTAGACTTGATGAAATCTAGTAATACCTACCTTACAAGGCTGCTGCTACAGGCAGCATAGGTAAAACTTGCATGTGAGTGTCCAGCTCATGAAAGGTGTGTACAAGGAGAGCTCTTCTGATATGCTAGGCACTCTGCTATGCACTTTTATGGCACCTCTAATCTTAAGGCAAATATGAAACTGCATATTGTTATCCCCACTTAGGAGATACATAATTTGACTAAGCAATACAGTTTGTATGGGATGGGAGAATAGCTGTCTCCTAATTTGCATGAAAATGTCAGGCAAAATTGGTATATTTGATATTTCTAAAACCAGAGACCTAAGGGCACGTGATTAGCAGACCTACTACAAGAACAAAACAAAGCACATTTCCTGGGAAAAGGAAAGAAATGATCTGAATAAGAGGCACTCCCTCGAGAGGGTCTGTGACAGACAGCCTGTCTCTCCCCCATGTGGTATTGTTGGCTGGAATTTCCCATTCAGTCTGGCGGTTTCTTAGAGGACATTCCCTTTTGGTGCCCCAGACTCCAATCTGTGTAATACTCCACCCTACTGAAATGCCCCACCAAAGGGCTTTGTGTGAAAATGATTTTGTGCTCACCTTTCTGGAAAAAATGTTTTCACAGAGAAATTGAAATTAAAATTAGGCTATTCCACTGGGAATGTACAGAACCAAATGCAAATCAAGAGACTTCAAATGCAAATAGTACCTTTTAAGGGTCTTTTCTGCAAAGAAAACTATAGATGAACAGGCTATAGATAAACTGGGTGGTTGACAGGTCTTTCAATTAAGCATAATCAAGACAGAATTTTACTTCATGGAGGGTTTTGCACAGTCCCAAGTTAACTTCATTACAATCTTCTTTAATTTCATTTCATTTCTACAAAATAGCATGCAAAGATATGACTATATATAGAGAGAAATTTGTTTAACTTTCACTTGACCAACAGCAAATAAATGCTTGGGCAATACGCAGGGCTAATGAAACAAAAAAATTTTTCCCAAGTGGAACATTATGGGAAAATATCTGTTATCAGAATACCTCATTAAAATGCACATTTTTTTTTTTTGCCTAAAAGATCAGCACACCCAGATACATTTGCAAAACAGACTGAACTCTTCCACAATTCACTTGACTCCACAAAAGGAGCCTTATCGAAAAAAAAATCCCTGTCTTAAAATGCCTTCCTTTCATGGTATTATAAAGGTCATTAAACAATGGACAGAATAAATATGATAGCTTTTAATACATGTACAGCCCATTAAATACAAGATTGATTTTCCAAGTGTGTGGTACTTGAGAAAATGTAGCTGGCTTTTTTTTTCCCCCTCTCCCTCCTGCATTAAGTTTAACCTCATTTATACATTTCTGGACTTCTGGACTACTTTCCTTAGCAGGAAAGAGACCTCTGTGAGACAAGCCTGGCCAAATTAATGATATTTTCTAATATGTATTAAGTAAAAACTATTCTTAGGAATGTCTGAAAGCTTATTTCACCCACGTAGCTTTCACAAGCAGATCAAAGAGAAATGCAGCATGGTAAAGTGGAAAGAGCAGGAGCCTGGAGTGAGACGGGGAGAAAGGTTCAGATTCCAACTACCATACACTACCTGTTTGACCTTGGCAAATGGTCCTCCCTCTGTCTGTAAAATGAGGACAATCCCATCTACTTGCAGGGTTACGGTATTAAGCGACTATTAGGCAAGTCACCCTGTTTGGTGCCTGGCATACAGTCATGTCTGGTGAAAAGTAATGGTCATGACCACTATGTGACAGTGCCCTTTGGTCCATCCTATTTGGCCTCATCCTTCGTGTCCTCCTCTTTGTGCTCAAAGGGGAAGCATCAAACCGCTCTGATTTTCCAAGATTATTTATATCAATATAGGCTATGCATTCCACTACATGACTCTTTCATACAATAATATTAACAAATCAGAAAATATAATTTCCCCGATACAGTCATGTGTCCTTTCACCATGGGAAAACATTGTGAGAAATGTATTGTTAAGGCGTTCTTGTCATGCAAACATCACAGAGTGTACTTCCACAAACCTGGATGGTACAGCCTACTACATACCTAGGCTATATATAGTATGGCCTATTGCTCCTAGGCTACAAACCTATACCGCGTCCTACTGTACTGAATACTGTAGGCAACCGTACCACAATGGTAGGTATTTGTGTATCTGAACATAACTAAACATAGAAAAGGTACAGTAAAAATACAGTCTCATAGTCTTATAGGGCCACCGTCATATATGAAGTCTCTCATTAACCAAAAGATTATGTAGCACATGACTGTACTTCACATGTCTAGTTTTGTTTTAGAATGCTGGGGGTTCAAATCCTGCCTCTGCCACAAGCTATAAAGCCCTTTACAAGTTAATTAATCACACAGAGACGTAGGTTTCTAGTCTGTCGAATAGGCATTATAATATCTGCCTAATAAGGTTAAATCAGATAATGTGTGTAATGTATCTAGTACAGTACTTGGCACATATAAAATATCTCTTAAGTCATCATCATCATCATCATCATCATATCATAAAACAGAACAGCTAAATATGTTTACTACTGATGCACACTTTTTTCTCCATATTTATCTTACTATTCATTTCCTCCATATTTATAGATGTCAGAATTGTTTGCTTTCGACCAAGTTTCCATGCATAAAGATGTTTAACTGATTTCACTGAATTGGCCAAACTATTAGACCAATGAGAAAGCTGTTTCAGGAAGATATAGTAAAACTAGTATATAATCCAAAAGGGCTGTTTAATCATGCTGGCTGATTCCATACTTCTATTCAGTTGCATTAAATAAGGTATATTTCTTGAGTATTAGTATTATTATGATTCGGGAGGTTCCATTCTTTATTGCACACACATGGTGCCTGGACAAATCTGAGCATTAAAAAATCATCTCTGTTGGTGATACGAATAGACATACAGTTCTATTATTTAAAGGAATAAAGTTATGAAAACAGTTGTGTGAAGAAACAGAATAATTGGCTATCACATATGTACATATAGCATTAACAAACATATTTTCTTAAACAGGTGTAACTGAAAAATAAATTTTGAATCAAAATTAGATAAACTGATTTTTCCTTTTTGTTAATTCCTGTTCTCTTTTCAGGAGTGGCTAAACGTCACTGGATTAACTTAATTTCGGGTACATACCTGCTGTGAGATCCTGAAAGCCATGATCTACTCTCCTAAAATACACTTTGTAACATATGCACAAACACAACCTTCTGTATGTGATTTCAGGTTCTTGTAGACCACCCATAGCCACCTCTAGATAAGAATATTCCTTAGACAATGGTTAAGCTTTTAGGATTTGACTTCTATTTTTGATTGATCTTTAGTTTAGAAACTCCTAACATTTTAGATTTAAATTCCCCTCTTCCTCCCTAATCATCCTAACCTCACTTAAGCAGCAAATTATCTAAAACCAAACACTTTCATGTTCTAAGGAAGCTTACTATTTAAAAGAATTCTATTATGAACCCATTTTGAAAAGTGAACAATATCATGTATTTTATAAATCATACATCCTTAACAACTTTTCTTTTCTTTTTTTTTTTTTTTGAGACGGAGTTTCGCTCTTGTTACCCAGGCTGGAGTGCAATGGCACGATCTCGGCTCACCGCAACCTCCGCCTCCCGGGTTCAGGCAATTCTCCTGCCTCAGCCTCCTGAGTAGCTGGGACTACAGGCATGCACCACCATGCCCAGCTAATTTTTTGTAGTTTTAATAGAGACGGGGTTTCACCATGTTGACCAGGATGGTCTTGATCTCTTGACCTCGTGATCCACCTGCCTCGGCCTCCCAAAGTGCTGGGATTACAGGCTTGAGCCACCGCACCCGGCCCCAACAACTTTTCCTAATGCAAGCATACATAGCATCTGCTTGCTTGCTTCTATTTAATTAAATTTAGAAGACAAATTAGACAAATTACAAGTGTAGTGTTCACAGATTTTAACTCCTTTCAGCTTTTAGTTATGTGAGGTTATTAGCTCATGTGAGGCCCTTCATCAGCATCTCCTTCCAGACATACAAGAATCTCTTTTTTGCAAATAATCTTTAAGAATTACTGTCACAAAAACATATGCTGTATCTTGGGGAGCATGTGGCCTAGTGTACTCTGATAGCTCTAAGTCTCTTTAAAAATGGCATTACAGTATCTTACAGCAATGGCTTGAACTGTGGCCAGGTAGAGAATGGCAAGATCATCGAGGTCCTGAGACAGTGTCAATCCGGTGACCTGCAGGGATGAAGGGAAGAAAAGAAGAAGATGGTCAAAAGAAGCTGCCATGGATATAGACAGTTCCCATGAAATACATTCAGATGTGTTTTCTTGCCAAAACAAGTTCATATGCAAATCCCCTTTTTGTGAGCAGAACGTGAAATGCCTACTAAATTGTTTAATCTCCAGACCTGGGAAAAACTATCCCTTCCTCAAAGAAAATACCTTGACCTTAGATTAAACAAAAACAAAACAAAATAAATACCACAGGAAGATTATGTTTGATATTTCTTAGACTATAATTAAATACCTTTTATTTTAAAACATTATTTTTTCTTACAAATACCTATTTTCTGTGGCTTACATGAAATCAACACATAACAGTGGCACTCTAGTACAAGATGATCTTGTTTTGAGTTCTGCTACTGTCAGAATTCAGTGTAACAGTGTTCAGTGTCCAATCCAGGGTAAAATAACATGTCTCCTATAAATATTATACCTACTAGGGGATAACTTAGAATCTGTGGGTTGCAAGGGAATCCCATTAAAGTCAATCAGAATTAGAAGCTTATATGTAGTATGCCAATCTCTGAGACAGTCCAGAACTGAACAGGATGCCGGATTTGTATGCTATCAGGATTTGTTCACAGTCCTGCTTTCATATTCCCCACTCATCGAGGTGTTCTCTTGGGACATTTCTAGAGAGTGAGGGCTGCTGGTTTCTTAAAGCCTAGCCCAAATTGTGGGCATCAGCACTATAGTTCATTTTAGATGATCACATTATAAAATTAATTCATCAACATTCATTTACTTAGTTCTTATGGTGTATGTTGTCTTGAGCTCAATCAGGTATGGATATGCAGTTTGCATCGCAACAGGGAAGCTGAGTGGTCTACCTAGGTCCCTTCCTTCATCTTCTCTGGCCCCATTTAATTACTTTTTCCAGATTTCATCCTCAACCCCACTGCAATTGGCCTATCACAGGGCACAGGTACCATTCAGTTGTCCAAACCAGGAAACTCAAGAGCCCTCTTTTTTTTCTTTTTGAGACAGAGTCTCGCTGTGTTGCCCAGGCTGGAGTGCAGTGCTGCAACCTCGGTTTACTGCAAACTCCACCTCCCAGGTTCAATCAATTCTTCTGTCTCAGCCTCCCAAGTAGCTGGGATTACAGATGTGCACCACCACACCAGCCTTTTTGTGTGTGTGTGTGTGTGTATTTTTAGTAGACAGGGTTTCCCCATGTTGGCCAGGCTGGTCTTGAACTCCTAACCTCAGGTGATCCACCTGCCTCAGTCTCCCAAAATGCTGGGATTTTGGGGTGTGAGTCACCGCACCTGGCCTGGAGCCCTCTTTCTTGACTTCTCCCTATCTTCCCATATTTAGGCAGTCTCCAAGTCTTATAGGTTTGATCTCCCAAATCTCTTTTGAATGCATCTCCTTTTCTTCATCCTTACTGTCATTCACTTCCTTAATTCAAGCCACCATTATGTCCTTCTTAATTGCTGACAGAGGCCCTGGGCAAATCTCACTGTTTCTAATTGTGCTCCTTTCCACACTGAAGCTAAACTGACTGTTCTCAAATACAAATCTGATCGTGTTACTTCCTGCAAAAACTTCTCCCCATTGCCCTCATCTCACAGTAGAAACACCTTCACTGGTTTAGTGTGCTTCTTCCTGGGCTTGCCCTTATTTCTTCTCTGGTGTTTACTCTTGTCCTCCCTCACTCCATAGCCTGTGCTCCAGCTATGCTGAATTATTTATCTAAGTCTGTTGATGTGGGGATTCCTACATTCAGTAGAGCTACCTGCTGACAGTTTTTCTTGGCAAATAATTGGGCAATCAGATTAGAATCATGGCTTTCATTTTTAATAGACAAGAACAGGGAAAATTTAAATGAGCGACTCGAGAAGCATTCTGGGGCTGTATCATCCTAAGCCATTAACTGTGAAAGAACATCCTGCACAAAAGTTTCTCAGAGACCTAAGCATACGGTAAGAATTCTGGAACTCAGAGAGAACGTGGACAATGTTGACATTATAGAACTTCATTTCACAATGAGGAAATAAAATGCCTAAGAGAACACAGAGAATGGAAATCAGAATGTAATGGTCTTTGCTTGTCTTACCAAAGGAACTCCAGTGCCCAGTGTTGTGCCTGGAACATAGTAGGCACTAAGCTAGTATTTGCTGAGTGACAATTCACTCAGCACTGTGAACTAATGCTCCTTTTCTCCTTTTAGACACCACTCTCTCTCCTTATGTCCTATCCTTCTTTGTTAGATTCTACAACTATAGGTGGACAAAGTTTACCGCCTCAGCTCCTTGCACAATCAGAGAGGAAGGGATTATGCCCCAAGAGAAAAGAACGCTGGAATAACACTTTAAGCCACTCGCTCCATGCTCCCAGCTGCCCTCCCCATCCCTAAACTTATCCTTCCTCATCAGAGAAGTGGCTTTTATGAGAATAGGGTAAAAGGAAGGGTCCCTGTAGCTCATATAGAACCTTTGTGTGAGTTTGAAAAAGGCATCCCATCTGGAAGTAGGAATTATAAAAAGGTGCAGAGTAAGCAGGATTTCAGCCTGGTCATAGCCCCCTGAGCTGAACACTTTCTGCAAGCTGCCTGTGCTGTGGCATTCAGTGGTCCTGGTAATAATCACAAGTCATGAACACCAGTCACGCATGGTTTCTGTCTCTCCTGTACTGGCCTGACCTCAACAGTACCTCTGCTATTAGGTCTCCTGGGGAAGTTGCTGGGCCATGGCTTAGTGCACTGTTCTAGAGCCTGTCCAGGAGGCTGCCTCCCTTTGGCTTCCTCAATAGGAAGTAGGTCAAGGCATGATCCTCTGTGTGGCTGACCCACTACTAGAGACCAGATTTGGATAATTTGTGCTGGGAGTGGTTGACTTTGTATATAAGATATATTCCCCTAACAGTATTTATTAGGAACCCCAGTGCTTTGTATAATAATACTGATAATGTAATGGTTCTGATATTCTTCTCAATTAGTAAGAATCCATAAGAGAGAAACGGTGTGATATAGCCAGATTTAACTTGCTTAATCCGCAGCAGATATCCATGAGAGTTTTCAAAAAGCAATGGTATTTATGCAAAAAGATACCATAGATCCTTCTCTAAATTTCCAGTGCCTCCAGAGCTCAGAAATCATAGAGGAGAAAAGAGAGGATATTTTTTCCCCAGACACTGAGAATGAGATAATCAATGTAATTGAGCACTAAATTTAAATCCTGAGCTTGCTAGCAGCTATGGCAAAGAGGAACACATGATGGGTAAAATAGCTTTTCTTTTTCTGATAAATAAAACATAGCTATCCTTGAAGGAAGACAAAATTATTCCTGGGAAGAAATTCTAGAAGAGATTTATTGCATGGATCATAATATACATGGTATTTAGTATCAAAAGGGAAGCAGCAAACACAATTCTCACACAATCATTTCCAATATTCCCTCACCACTAACACTAGAGCCACCATACTGAAATGTGACTTAGTGAAAGATATTTATCTCTGAAGTACCAAGATGCTGTGGACTGAGGTCCCTGCTTGCTTGACATCTCATCTGATATGTAGATGATGATGAAGTTCATTTAATTTTCTCTCAAATACCAGGGACCTCAGCCCAGTCAGCCCATGACAGAACTTTGCAAGGAGTGCCATGTAGACTGCCTGAGAGGCCAGAGGACCCTCGGGGAGTTGTCTTGGAAGGGTGGTGATGACAGTGCCCTGGGAGTTCCAAAGAAGTCCTGGGGGAGACACAGCTTTGAAATGGCTGAGAAGGCTAGGAAAGGGGCCAGATGAACGGATTCCCTAGCTGAAGGCTGAATGGTTCCGTCAAGAGGAAGTGGAGAGAAAGCATGAGTAGAAGGAGTGTGTTTATTCATGTGCATGTGCCTATTTTGAATGTTTGGGCGAGACAGAGAAATGTGTGGGGAAGCCTGATGGGAGACTTGCAAGGGTAAGCACATTTTATTTATTTCAGCTATTGTATAATGAAGAGAACTGTAAGAGAAAGCTCTTATAATTTAAGATTTGGATGTGTGAAAGCTATATATAATGATAAAAAAATGCAAACAACTGCATTGCCTAATTTTAACATCCTAGATTATGAATATAAAGCACTTAAGTAAATATTGGGATTTTTGAGGTTAGAAGTGTATGCAAATTGAAAGAATGAGCTTTAGAGGAAGGCACCTGGGTTTAAATCTTGACATTTTCTCTACTTTAGCTGCATGACAATATATGAATTGTGTAATCTCTATGAGCTTCATTTTTTTCATCTGCAAAAAAGGGATAAGATCTCAAATTATTTTTGTGAAGATTACATGAGGTATCATTTACAAAGTGCATTACTTTTTTCAGTAAGCTATACTGAGTCTATAAGAGCTATACCATCCTGTAACTCTTATGGTGCCAACTGTGTAGATAGGTGGCACTTAAGTGTTCATTTTCTTAATGTGGCATATATATATACCATGGAATACTATGCAGCCATAAAAAAGAATGAGTTCATGTCCTTTGAAGAATCGTTAATGAATCTGGAGACCATCCTTAGCAAACTAACACAGGAACAGAAAACCAAACACCACATGTTCTAACTCATGAGTGGGAGTTGAACAATGAGAACACATGGACACAGGAAGGGGAACATCACACACTGGGGTCTGTCAGGGGATGGTGGGCAAAAGGAGGGAGAGCATTAGGACAAACATCTATTCATGCAGAGTTTAAAACCTAGATGACGGGTTGATAGGTGCAGCAAACCACCATGGCACATGTATACTTACGTAACAAACTGGCATATTCTTCACATGTATCCCAGAACTTAAAGTAAAATAAAAAAAATAAAATAAGAGTTCATTTTCTTTCCTTTTCTCTTAATAACTGTTCATTCTCTTTCTCTTGAACTGCATGAAGGGCTCACTCCCATTCATTTATTGGGATATGGCAATAATGTATCTCCTTCCCCATGCTATTGGTACTACTGAGGATATTAATGAGGGGCACTGGAGACTGGTGGCTGTTCAGTGTAGGGAAGCCAGGGCAGAAGCCGATCATCAGTACTGGCACCGTAACATTAAAGGTACAGGAATGCAGGAGTATGGAGAAGCAATGTGCCTCTGAAGACACAGGCACAGAGAGAGGGGGACTCTTGCAAGAACTCCTTGAGGAAGCCTTAGTACTTGTCAACCTACATACTTCCAGTCACTGTAAAAAGAAGAGACAGATGGTTCCTCTCCACCCTGGACTTCAGCTTATATCTTG